GAATGCCAGCATCTCAAGCGGATGTTTACTAAGCTTAAGTACCCAGTGAAACTCATCAACTCAGCTATCGCCTGGTACACGAGTTCTACGATCCAAAGCCGTCACGAAACCCCAACTGAACTTGACGCGGCTACACAAAAACCTGTCAGAATAACTTTACCATTTAAAGACCAAAAATCGGCCGACACAGTAAGACATCAGCTGAAAGATCTTGGCCGGAAAATCGGAACTGACCTACAACCAGTTTTCACGAGTCGTAAGATCGAGGGAAAGCTCAAGATACAAGAAGAGAAGCCCGCTTTAATTAACCACCAATGCGTTGTTTACACTTTTAAATGTGATTCGTGCGATGCGGATTATATCGGTTATACCACACGCCATCTTCATCAACGCATAGAAGAACATAAAGCCTCTGTCATTGGCAAGCATCTGAGGGAGGCCCACGGTGTAGCGTCCGCTGGCCTGGGGAAAATGTTTTCCGTTCTCAAGAAATGCCGCGGGAAAATGGACTGCCTAATCCACGAAATGTTATTCATTCGCGAACAAAAACCAAAGTTAAACACGCAGTCTGACTCAATACGTGCAAAAGTATTTATTTAAACATATACTGCACGATCTGACACCAATAACAATGAACGCTCATTATTCTAATGAAGTTATCACATTTTATTTGTATATAATCTCTGAGCTACAATTTTACATCAGTTTTAACATTTTACTTGATAATGAGGTCATGCAGACTTCGAAACGTCGTAGTTTTTTACCGTTAATTTTTATCATCAAATGTATTTCTAAACATTCTCTGATTAGAACTCTATCAAATTGTTAATTAAATTTGATCCTTCTAAATGTGAGCATCAAAGCAGGGGTGCGTATCGTTAGTAAACAACACAAAGCCCGGCAGGCTATGACAAGCGTCAACTGACCGATGATGATCACAACTTCTCTTTGTTTTCAGTGCAAAGGAGAGGAAGTCAGTAGTGTGTTGAACAGGCGCCATATTTAGCATATTTTGGGCGGGCGGAATTCAACACGAGGCGAGCAACGCGAGCGCGAAGAGGAGGGCTCCTTCTTTTGCGCGAGACTCGCTCTTTCTACAGGCTAGACCTACAGACGAGTGTAAGGACGAACAGACGGTCTGTCCTCACGTACGTTTGTCTGTCTGACAAAAGGACGTGTGGATAGACAGACGGACGTGCGAACAAATAGACGGACGAAAGGACAACAGAACGAAAGATGAATGGATGGATGAATTAATCAACTTACTGTCTCAGTGAAGGACTTACCTTTTCCAAATGCCAGTCAGAAAACGCTTTTGAGTTATCATGTCGTATTCTCAACTTGTATGGTTTTCCAACTCTTGTCAGTTCAACCTAACATAAAAAAAAGAAAAAAAATGAGAGAATGTAACACAATGATGAGGGGAAAAAATATTGTTTTGGGTGAGTTTGAATACATTGCAATGATCAAATCATACACGTGATTAAGAACCGCTACACACAGAAAGCTGTTCAGCAGAAACGCAAAACGTGGGGAAAGTTTAAGACCCATGGATATGGAGAGCACATTGGACAACAGAACAGAGCGAGTGATCAGAACTTACCTTAAACTTATCAAGCTGCCCCTGTTCAAAGTTGTCAGTGGCATTACCAAGCGGTACCTCATCAGTCTTTCCTTTGTCTCCGTACAATGTCAAGAACACATTAGCATCTGTACCAGCTCCTCTTACATCACTTGTCCACAACCAAACATTCCAAACAGTTTCTGTCGAGAAAAAAAAACTCTCTCCAACCACAATTTCTCATCTCGTCCGTTCTCCCCTTCATTCTTTCGATCTTTCTCATCCTAACCCACCCTAGCCTCACTGACGTCCTCCTCTTTTCGACAGTGTTACGCCTGGTTCTTTAAAACACGATTCATCTAGCCGTAGTCCTACATCAAGTTAAAACCTTGAGAGTGGGTTTTAGGTGGAATGAATGCTTCAGTACTTGAGAAACCAAAGCCATAATTATAGAACTTTGGATCACAGATTAGAAAAACCAACCCTGGAGTACCACTCCTTTACAGAACTCTCCTCCGAAAAAACAAAATTACGCGTACAGTATAGTCCACCGTCTACCCTTGCACTGCCTTGACTGTGACTTACAACAAGGATACAAAACAAGAGGACCAGAGCTCCTCATGTTCTTGGCATACATGTAAATGTACAGGTGCGAGGAAAATGCTTCTGAACTAACAAATGCGTGGCATTTTTTGCGCAACGTTTGAGAATTAATTAACTTCACTACCTAAAAACAATTTTCACTACTAGGCGGATATCAATTGTCATGAAAGAGGAATGAAGAGAACACTGTAAATCATACTTGGCCGTCTTTTCAGTCTCATATCTTCCGACTCAAAGAGATCTCTCTCAATCAGCTGGTCTCCTTCATCATCTGCCAGCCACTTCTGACATAAAAATACTTGCTGATGTCCACTACTTGGACAGTCGACAACCACCTGAGGGAAAAACAAAACACTCAAAATTTGGGCCTTTTCAACCACAATGTACGATCAATGCAGGATGAAAACTCTACTAACATGGCTTGCGTAGCAATTAAGCTTATCCTTCTAGCTAAGCGAGAGTAATGTAAAGGTGGGGGGAGAGGCTTTAGGGAACTCAATAACATTGGGTTTCTCATTGCATTGGTTTTTATTTTTTTCGCTTTATGATTGGTTGAAAAGTTTTGACCCCTCTCAACCAGTCAAGTACTAATGGACGTAAACCAATTAGAACTTGGTCTGTTGCATCTTGCTTCATTGGGAGGTGTCTACTTTTTTATCCTTTTTATTTTTTTGTTGCCAACCCCGATCGTGACTGGCCGTTGTCAGTGGCGGATCCAGACCTTGAGCTTGTGTGTGTTCACCTGCCGGCTTTTCTTTCCTCTACGTTTATCATTTTATCCAAAACAAGGGGAGGCCCCGACCCACGGGTGCCCCTCCCCTAGATCCGCCACTGACTGTTGTACCTTTGATTTTGGTACACAGTCGACTATGCAAATTTCAGTTTACCTTCTCACAGTGCCATCCTGCACCAAGACCACTATTATCATGACCAATGGTTAAATGATGCAATGGACTCAGCATTTCTGTTGTTTCTACAGTAAAAATGTCCGTCCTTCCCCTTTGAAAGTTGTCCTTCTCTTCATTTTGCAGCCAGAGCTTGCCGCTGTTGTTTTCGCCTTCTTCTCCCCCGTGAAGGATGATATAAACACGCGCATTTGTAGATGCATTTCTGACGTCTCCAGTTGTGACATGAATATGGTAGGGAATTCCTACAAGTTCAAAAATAAGACACATTCTGTGAACTTTCCACAACATCTACATTTACCTTAGGATTCAAATTCATTACTTTCTTTGATAAAGTACTATATGGAAATTCTGAAAGGGATCATTTCGAGGGTACCTAATATCTTTGCAAGCAAAGGCTGCGCAAAACAATTTTTCACACTTCCACCGTTTAGCTCTTTATCAATGATAATTTTTTGGATTAAAATTTGAAAGCATATCATTCCTGCAAATTAGAAGTGGATTAATTGCATAGACAGGTATTGGGATATTAACAAAACCTAACATGAACCTGTATCATAACTAACACCTGTGTTACATTTGTAAAGACACAACTGACCTTTATCAACAACTATATCACCATCTTTGCAGTCTGCTCGGATCAGTTCACGTGAGATTTGACCATCATCTTCATTTTTAGCAAACCAGCGTCGGCAAGGAAAATCCACAGCCTCTCCTGTACTGGGATCCTCAACAGTTGCCTGGGAAAGGAAATGGCTGGAAACTAAAATAATTTGCGACGTGAAAACTCCTTTAGCGACAACAAACAGTACACTGTAAATGACAAAATCGCTATAAGGTACTTTTAAGCATTTTAAATTATTTACCGAAGTGGAGGTAAATATTCATTACTTCCACCGAAACTGTAGCGAACAACTGTTTTAGTAAACAACCAACTGCCTAGTCTATCTCGGCCTACATACCGAGACGTGGTGGGAAGCAAACTCTTGACGTGTGATTTTGTCTCTTCGGCTGCTCGTCAGTAAATAGTACTCGCTAATTGCTTCCGAACTAGCCAATCAATGCACGCGAAAAGTTCTAGTTAAATGCACACGACGGCTTTTATCAAATGAACCAACCTTGTTCAAAAACCAGCCGGGCCCCAGTCCACTATTATCATGTCCAATCCTTATCTTGGTTAAGCGTCCAAGACTTGTTCCACAAATGACTTTAAAAGAATCTTTCCTGAAAAAAGCACAATGGTAGTTCTACAACTACAACAGCAATCCTTTGACCGGCTCCCAGATATAATAAACTAGAACTTCTCCTTAGGACGTTAACAAATGCATATGGTAAGTTATTGAAGATCTGAAATGACAATTGTTAAAATTACTGCTTACTTTCCACGTTCAAAGTTATTTCTTGCATTATCCAGCTTCTTCTCTCCAGAGTCACCATCCTCTCCAAATATGGTGACAACAACATTAGCATCAGTTCCAGCCCCCCTCTTGTCGCCAGTGTATGTGTGAACTAGATATCGGTGGCCTAGACAACAAAAGAGAAAAAAGAACACATATAAGTTTGGTTACCATTTTATATGTAAGAGCATTGTGTAAAAACTTCATCTCAAAGTTATTATAAATGATCACTGATAAAAATGTCTGCAGTTTGATTGGTCAGGGACCATACATTTTTAGATAATAATTATTTTGCTATTATCAACCTTTGTCAACCTCTTCAACATGATTATATTAATATTTTTTTCTGGTTTCCAACAACACAGGTCATTTTCACCAGCAACGTTCCCTGCAACTTTTACCATAATTATTCTTGGAATACAACAATAGCACATCCCTTGGTACAATGCGATCAAAATTTCCATTAATTACACCTGTACTTATGTTCAACTTGGTTGTACACAGCACTTATCAAGTTTTAACCTACATGTATGTATTTCTTCTTTTACATACATGTAACAATAATAACATAATGATACAATTACATACTTACATACTGATTATAAAAAACTCTACTTTCAAAATACTAAATTGGAAGTATTAAATGAATTTAAAAATGTAGGTGCTGTTAGCAAATATCAAGTACATGTATATCAATAGTCTGAAAATTTCTCCACAAATAAAGACCAGTCATGTTGTGCAATACTAATATTAACAGCCAGGGCTCGACACTAACTCTTCAACTTACCATCCAATGGGCTGGTGACAACTTAGATGTTACAACAATTTCAGTTTGTTTACTAGCCAAACTGGCTTATGAAAACTGAAAACCACTGGCCAAAACTGAATTTCTGCTAATCTGTGGCTAGTTGGCTACTGTTCGCATTGAACCCTGACAGCAATTTTGACATCGTTAATTATGCGTTCTGTGAAAAGTGGATTGAACTAATTTGAGACTTCACTCTCTGTAGTTTTCCTCAAAACTTTTCTGTAGATGACTTTTTTTCCTACTAATGGATCAGTTACCATTCTAATAGTCACTTACCACTATCAGGGTTCGTACACTTTTTCAGGCCAAAGATTCAAGGACTTTTCAAGGACTTTCCAGGACCCTACTTAGAAATTTCAAGGACTTTTTGTAATGACAATTTTACCTCAAAACCAAGAAAAATGTTTCTGTTAACATCTATGTATTGGGTTTACTGATGGTGCAAAACAAAAGCAGATATTTTTCGATGTTGTTCAATAAAAAATCAAGGACTTTCAAGGACCCAAAACGAAATTCAAGTACTTTCAAGGCCTTGAAATTGGCCTTCTGAAATTCAAGGGTTTTCAAGACGCATATGAACCCTGCACTATACACAAAGAGAATTGAAATACAAAATGATCATTTCAGGATTAACAGTAACAAACCTTGAAATACAGCTGAAGAATCAGTTGATGCTGCCAGCTGCCTCACTGTCAGCCCATCACCCTCATCCTTAGCCAGCCACTGATTACAGGGAAAGTAGAATTTCTGATATTCTCTCTCACGACAATACACTATTATCTGAAAGAACAATGTAGGCTGTTTTAGCTACAAAACCGTTTACCATCCATTTCAATCTGTTTCAACGGTTCAGGAAAGTGGTTACATGGTTTGCTTATCCATTTAAAAAAAAATTGCATCCATTTAACCCTTTAGCTAAAATGTTTAAGCGGTTTGCTCATCCGTTTAAAAAATTTTGCATTCATTTAACGCTTTTGCTGAAGCATTTTAAAAGTGGTTTGCTAATGAGTAAATGAACAGCCAAATAGAGTTCTTGGAAAAAAAGAACTTTTTTTTTTAACAACTGTCAGTAGTAAGTGTTGGTTTTAGCATTTTTACTCTCAAACTGAGAAACTTTCAGGGCTTTCTTGTATGACAGACACCACTACCTACTGTTCCAGTATCACTATTCAAATTGTACAGTAACTGTACCTTGTCTAAAAACCATCCTGGAGAAAAACCAAAATTGTCATGTTCCACACTACAAATTAAAGAACAAAAACCAAATAAAATATTTTATCTTCCTATCATCAACAATCATTATGATAAAGTTAGGCATGTAACTAACTGGTTTATTAACTAAAGTAAGCGAGATTTGAGAATTTCATCTTATTAACAGCATTTAACACTAAATCTATGGACATTTTTATTCCACATATGTGTAATTATACATGTAAACTATTGGCACCTATGTTTTTACTTTTTCAGGCAGCCACCAGTACTTTCTGATGAATTTTTAATGTAAAACAGTGAAAAATATTTTTTTTGTAGGGACCACTAACATTAACTTCTTCAAGGGTCCAAGGTCAGTTGTCTTGATTTTGAAAATATCTTTTTTTTTTCTTTCAAAAGCATCATCAGTCCTGTTAGGTACAAAAAAAAAAAAAAAGAAACAGATTACAAAAAACAGAATTATCTTCATGTAAATTAGGTTCATGTATATTTAAGTGAGGAAATTCAAAGTAAAGACTTGATTAAATTGGATTTGTTTACTTGTGTGAGTTGAAAAACAACAATAAATAAATGTAGGGAAAACAAAACATTTCAATCCCCACAAATCCTTGGGAAACAATGACACCAAATAATGGCCAATACCTAACCATTAGAGTATTAATTATCTTCTGGAAAATTGCAAACAAGTAGTAAGATTGAAATGTTAAAGCCTAAAACCTGTACCTGCTGATCAGTTGCGTTTTAGGAGCTTGTCCTCTCTTGCCATGTAATGTAATAAACACATGAGCATCTGTTCCAGCACCAGCCTTGTCCCCAGTATACACTTCTATTACGTACACTGCCAAGCCCACAAACAAAGTAGCTTTCAGCTGCAGTACATTCTCATACACAGGATATCAACAATAAACAAAAATGAGCTCCAAGCACAACTTAAGGCAACCTACAAAATCTTTCCTAAAAGCAGAATTTCAGTCTCCAGAAAATAACTTAAGGGAATGAAACTTTCACTGGTAATTGAGCAATATTTAATGGAGTCATACAATATACCCCTATTCACAGGGCCTGTGTAGAATCATTTGAATAATTACAAGCAAAATTAGGTGATGTCAACATACCAACTTTTTCAGCTTTCTTGTGGACCAGTGGTTTTAGACAGCGCCTTACTTGACAATCACTCTCATAAAGTGACAGCCATTGATAGCAAGGGAATGTCCAAGACTTTGATTTCTGAGGGTTTGTCACTTGGATTTCATCCAGGAACCACCCTTGTTTACGCTCACGGCCATCGTGCTGATCGAGGTAAAAAAGATTGCAGCAGTCTTCATAACAAATTCACAAAATGTGCATACTTAACCAGAGCTGTGTGGCAAATTCATTCATCCTCTTTTTTTAATCTTATTTCTTTTTTTTTTGGGCATGTTTGTGTGTGTGTATGTTACAAAATATGTTAGTTATATTATGATAGCATTTGGTCCATAGTTTGGTAGATTGTACAATTTAACTATAGTGACAATTATTTTATGTTATAATTTGTACTCTTGTATAGTGGTATTGAAAAATAAAAAATCTTTTCCCCACAAGAAAAAAAATTTACAGAATACCAATACATGCATGTTTTAAAATGAGTTCCAACAATTTCCTGGATTTATTTTTTTCAAGACATGTTCATCAACACAGATAATTATAACTGGACATTATTCAGATTTATTAAATTTTCAACTCTGAATATTGCATATCAAGCGTTCTAATCAGTGGACTCAACTCCAGTTATCATTTAATATTTCCGCATCACCTTATAAGGAAATGCATTGGGCCGACTGTTGTGGAGCTGAAAAAGGTTCCAAATAATATCTAAATGTTCAGGATTTAAAGAAATTTATAACAAAGTAATCCATTTGTACTTGTTGGGTGCCAGATTGGTGATATCCATCCAATGCATGATCATGCGATAATTGTTAGATATCAGCAGTAAAGGATTGCTCAATATAAAGTTCGTCACAGTACCTGAACAATCAGCTGTATAAGATCACCAATATCAGGTCCCTTCACAGTAAAGGTCTCAGTGCTTCCTGAATGAAATTGGAATGGTGGTAATGTTGCTATAAAGGCAGATGGTACAGCAGAATCCATTTGGTGAGTGAGTTGTCGGGTAAACTTGCCTTTCGTTCCCCGAAATTCTGCAAAAACCTGCAGGACAAGTCAAATACTTTAAAGTAGCCCCTGCGACAGCCTCTATGCAAATTCACTTACAAAATAGACTGAGAAAACAAGGTTAATAAGATACTGGTACTTTTTATAATGATTGTTGCATGTACACATACTAACAGAAAGATACAAAATAATAATAAGGCTATTAAACTTATATGTACCCTACAGAGTGATTACTTCAATTACATTTGCTGTTATGTAGTAAAGACTGTGTTGAGTTAACAGGACCACAGTACTGAACAAACAAAATCGTTTTGAACAACAAAGTCATAAGAAACACAAGACCACCCACAGATATTCAGTGAAGCTTAACCAACAGTTTTTACTACAACAATAATATACAATGCTCATTAAAATAAACAATGTCCATTTCACAAGAGAGAAAACAATCAGCTTCCTCACAAATACTAATTTCTAATTAGGCAGACACACCTAACAACAGATACATAAGCTTATCTAATAAGACTGGTCTGCATTTGGTTTCAGATGCATTCTTGATGAGTTAACACACATTTTGGTCCTCTTATCTTTTAGCTGCACTGTACCATACATAGCATTATACAAGTCATGTATTCCCTGCTTGTGACTGTGAAATGGGTTGAAATCACACTACTGGTATAGATAGATAGATAGATAGATAGATAGATAGATAGATAGATAGATAGATAGATAGATAGATGGTTTTATTCAAAAACTTAGCAGCCAAAGGGCTGAATTGTGTTGTTGTTACAATACTAAGTAAAGATACATGTATATATAAAAACTAGACAAAAAAAATTGCAAAATGTATTTAAAACGTGAAAAAATAATCTATACCTATATATATATATATATATGTCTATGTAAGCGTATAAAAGACGACTAGTTAAATAATCAGATAATTATATTACATAATTACATGTTCGTAATTGAGATAATTTTAATTATAGAACGGTGCAAGCCTTCCTTGCATTGTTATTAATAAAACTTAATTAATTGTGTTCTTTTAGTTGAAAACTTGGCAATAGTAATGTAAAGTACAGTAATGTAAAGTACTACTTTTAATTAACAGGGCTTGACACTAACGGTAGCCAACTAGCTACAGACTAGTACAAATTCAGTTCTGGAAAGTGGTTTGCAATTTCCACCAGCCACTTTGGCTGGTAAACAAACTGAAATTGTTGTAACATCTAAAATGCAATTAGCCACTTAGCAAGTAAGTTGAAAAGTTAGTGAGGATGAGTACTGTTATTTTAAGTCACCTAATGAAATAAGTGAGAGTGTCAAATACTGCCTAAACTGGTCTAATTATTTTTAAATTAATAATTATGGCAGTTTCAACTGCAAAATTAAGCAATGTCACATCCAATTTTCTCATACCTTTGCATCTGTGCCACCATTTTTCTTAGCTCCAGTTTTTACTACAGCTTTGTATGTTACTCCACCTGTATATATGATTCAAAATTGCTCTCAATGGGAATGATCTTCTGGAAACAGTTAAGTGTTCAGGGTATAAGACATGTAATCTGGTGTTCTAGTTTTTCCAATGTTATAATCGTTCCCTAGAGTCTGCAAATAGCCACATGTTTAATGCCTGACCTACCTGTTAAGATTTCTAAATGTTTAATGCCTCCTACCTGTTAAGATTTCTAAATGTTTCTCTGATTATTAACTTTGGACCTAAAATGCCTGGTTAGGGAGTGGTCAGTTATTTACTGGTGCATACACTTTCCTCCAATCAAACACTAAACCCAATCAAACACAGTACTTCAGTCCATTTTACAGTTGCTTGCTTGGTGGCCGAGCCTTTGAACAGCTGTACTTTTGAATATGTTAAAAGTCAATAGCAAAACAAGATAACTCAAAATTTAAAAACCTTTGTTCTTTGTCTTTTCACTGGTACTTCTTCTTGCCTGATAACAAACACAAATTGAACATTTTAAGCTTCAAGGTTAAACTATAATACACATTGAACTGCACATGAAATTCCCGAATAGTCTAGTTATGTGTCCTATTGTAGTTAAGTACATAAAGTACTTAAAAACTGATTTAAAGAAGGAACTCAGGGCCGTGATCTAGCAGCACCTGATGGCCCCTGGCGCCTTACTTTTGCTCTTTAAGGCGACTCAGGAATCTTAGTTTTTTCATACAAAACATATGCTGGGCACCCTGGATTTCACAGTTTCAGAGCACTGGGCTCCCTTCAATTTTTCTTAGAGCACAGCCTTGGAACTTCACCTTCTGTAGCCAATTAGGTTACTTCACAAGCCTAGTCCATCCTGTGAGTAATGTATAATGTGTTTCTTTTTTTTCTTTTAACTCTTTAACCATAAGAGTGAACAGCATCTAAATTCTCATTACAATATCACCCCCACAATAATGTTCATGTACAAATTTAAAAAATGATCACCAACTAAGGAAACTTTTGATTGTTAAACAAATTCTCCTTATCAGCACCTTAGGAAATATATGAAGAACAGTGTAGAGAATATACATACTGATGTTAGGGTATAAAGGGTTAAATTACTAATATAAAGTACTTTAAAAAATCACTTGACTGACAGTGATTAATTGGAAACATGATCTCAATTTACAATTCACACTGAGCAGTTTCGATGGCCTTTTATGAACTCTTGTCTGAAGTTATAATGAATTTGAGGTCTAATAATGTTAGAGATGTAGTATATGATAATTTACTACAGCCTTTACATAACTGGATTTATAATTGGTTTATTTTTTCTTATTTAGTTCTTATTAACCCAGCGGGAGGTCTGTATGGGAGAATCTTGACCGAGGTCGCCAGTACAGACTGAACGCACAGACTGAACACAGTGAGATCTGTACCAGCAACCGAGGTCAAGATTCTCCCATACAGACCGACCTAGCTCGGTTAATGAGATGTTTATTATATGGCTGTGTCTTATATGGCAATTTTTTTATATTCTTTGTACCTTTTTTCCTAGACCAGTCTAGATGCCAGTCTAGATGGGAAAATCTAGACCGCTTTCATTATTGATTTCAGCCACTCAAATTCGTGAATTCAGTAGTTCCCAGTCCTTGTGAGACACAGCCATATAATAATAAGTAAGAACAAACACTAAAAATTTACACACAAACAATTTACACACCCTTGTTTTGGATGGTCCAGACTCCCTCAAAGATGTACTTTTTCCAAACCTTCTTGAAAAGTAAGGGTTCAAATGAGGATCACTCAGAGAATTATATGTTGCTGGAGAAAAGTCTTTTCCACGTAGAGTGGTGCTGCCTCCAATTGAAGCTCTTGGAGCAAAGGGAGCCTTTTTACTTGTCTTACTCTCAAATGGTGTGTGGTATAGGCTCACATGAAACTTCCTCGCTCGTTTGGGTTCAGGTGAGTTTGGATATCTCCAACGAGGTTGCTGACTGGCAGGTGGTGCTATAAACAAGAAATTTTCCAACACTGTCAGTATTTTTCCCAAACTGTGAAAGAAAAATAGCCACCTTAGTGTAATATAATGCTACATTTAGGGAATTTATGCACAATTTCCAGGCAATATTAATTAACATGCCGTCAACAGGCTTACTCAGGAAGTGAACTTAGGAATTTCTCAGGGTAACTTGAAAAGCACCCTGCATTACACTGTTAGGATCAAAAATAAAAAATATCCAGAGTGTCATATGGGTTCATAGAATAAGAGAGAAGTAACATGTAGGTTATGAATGTATTTGTCAAAGAAAGAGAGGCTTTTCCATAATGGCTATAGTCCAGCATCAAGTTTTCTTTAGCCTCAGGTCCTTGTGCTATAGATAATCAGGGTGCAAAAACTGTAGGTCTGTGATTTAAATCCTTGAGGGAGAGTAACAGTTTCTATTTGTTCCACACTCCTTACAAAAGGAATGGCACCTCTCTTTGTTCATTCACTGAGCTCAATATCATTCTACTCTCCTTGTTTCTTTATTAAGGGTGCGTGTGTCAAGCAGTATGAAAATAATAGTCCAGTGCATAATCATTATCTACTGTACCACTAACAACTTGAATGTAAGCTTCTCGACAGTTTAAATTAATTTTTGTGCATCAAGAAAATCGCGCTCTATTTCCCAACGAATTACACCGCGTTCACCCCCTATCGAGTTCGCCCCTTCAAGTTTGCCCCCACACTAGTCTTTTTTTTGTCTTGGTTCTGACTTATGTGCAATTTTCCATAGAAACTAATTTAGACATGACTCAATCTGGGGGCGAAGTCGACTTGGTGGAGTCAACCTCGAAAAGTGTGGAGGCAAACACGGTTTAAGGTAGGGGTGAACTCGAAGGGGCGAACTCGATAGGGGGCGAAAGCGGCGGATACCTTTTCCAACATAAGCCCTTACACTTATCCCAACTACATGTTTATAAACAAATAAACACAATAGTTTATAAGCTTAGAAGCTTTTACGTTGAATTACCCGACACTGGTCTTGCTCGCTGATTACTTGTTGTTTTTGTATATCGCGTAGGTTCCGGTCGATTTAGACTTGTAGATAACAAATGCGTATCCTGAAAAACACTTTTCACAGCCTCGGAGCTCTGCATTTTCTCAGAATCTTGTCAGTCACGAGTATAACAGCTCTGTAGTACCACTAAATCTTCTTTGTTTATCTTGACGAACAAAAACCACGTGAAGCACTTTAGTTAAACATATCTATCTAGTTATTTTGACCACTTATAGCCGGCAATCTTGTTTTGTACTTGAGTGAAAACAATTCACAAAAAATATGTTTGAATACAAGTCACATGTTAAAATCACCATGGCCAAAGTAATTCATTCTCGACTGCAAAGTTACGTCAAGTTCTGTAAGTCACGCCATGTTTCCATTCATATTCCTTTTCTGTGACAGTTTCTCTCGACAGACAATTCTTCACATAATATTCCAACACCACTGAGGAGATAGCCTTTTGTATAAGAAAACACCTTCAATTCAGTGTCTAACTTTTTGAAGTAGCGATTGTATGCAAACTTTTTCGAAGCTAACAACGAACTCTGTTTTGTTACTCCGGTTTCCAACGCGTAATTAGTAGCCAGGCCTTCTAAGATTGGCTCAAATGACAAAATACGTTCCCCTCCTTTCTCCGCTAAGTAATCATTTCTATTATCCACTTAACTATTAGTTACATCAATGATTTGATCATTAGTACTCCCGTTATTTCGAGACCATCGCCTAATGAATCTAATCTTTTCTAAAAATGGAGAATAATGCCAGCGACATTTTTTTTATCTAAATTTTCAACCAAAATGACTTCACCATGAGAGGGACAGGAGAAATATCGGCTCCCAAGATTTGGCGGGAAACATTACAGTGGGACCTTGTTATCAGTTGTTACCTAATTACCTCATAAGGAATACTCGGTCAGCAATCATGCCGAAGAAACGTCGCGATTCAAGTCCTGTGCGATCACCAAAATCAAAGAGACTAAAAGAGGTAGGTTTTTCGATCATAGCTTGTGGAGTGAAACGATTTTGTTCTATAGTTTAGTCATTCGATTTCCGCTGAAGAAGAGCGAAGCAAAATTCGTGTGAAACGAATGTCGAAGCAAACGAATAAGGATGTTACAGCTTTGAGCCAGAGAATCAGAAACTCTATATTTGATAGGAATCAGTTTGCTGATACTCGTGTAATGTACCGGCAATGATGTGTCAGAAGAAATCTGACAAAATCAGCTTCTCTTTGACAGTAATAGCAATTAGAACTACTGGGAATATACAAATCAATGTTGATGAATGTACATCTGTGAGGTTACTTACCCTCCTGAGTAAGGACCCAATGGATTGCACTGGATAGATTTGAACCAGTTATCAATTAGCAGTTTATGACTACTTACGCTTACAGTTTGTTTTAATAATACCATACAGACATTTTGAATGGTGTTACATAATCGCCTATTAATTCAAGGGACAAGACAGGAGATTAAATTTTTGATTCACAGTCTTACTTACATGCTCTGTTTTTGCTTAAGAATGCTCATGGGAGTGGGGAATTGTCAGAATATGAGAAAAAGCGTCTGGAGAATATCAGACAGAACAGTGAATTTTTTGACGTTCTTCAACTTACTGAGGTAAAGACTTTAATTTGCCGCTATGCCATTTTGCTTTAGTATAATACCCGTTTATATACCTGAAAAATACTTAGTTCTCAGAAGTGAAGGACCATGTCCACTTGACTATGCATCAAAAAATCGCAGCTATCACATACCAGGGCTCAACACTAACTTTTCAACTTATTAGCCAAGTGGCTAGTGACAGCTTAGATGTTACAACAATTATTTCAGTTTGTTTACTAGCCAAACTCGGCTGGCCAGTGGATTGTGGCTAGTTGGCTACCATTAGTGTCGAGCCCTGTATATTTCAGGAAAGTAGAGAGACATTGCTAATATCAGAGCAGTCTAAATTTAGTTCATGTCCTCATCATGTGTGTGGTGGATGTGTTGGTAGAATGTCTTTAGTGCTGGACTTCAAGTCAAGAGGTCTGGGTTCCCGACCTGGTCAGGTCAATGTGTTGTGCTCCTGGGAAAAACATTTTATTCTTTCAGAGGCTCTTTCCACCCAGGAATATAATGGGTACCAGTTAATTGTCAGGAAACCTGGTGAAACACCAGAGGGTAACCTTGGTGATGGAACAGCATTCCATACAGAGGGAAGTAGTGATATACTCCTTGTCACTTCATGCTAAGAAATTGAGGATGAGCTTGGGCTGAATGGGCTACTTGGCTCAAGTAAAGACTTTCTCTTTTTTTTTTTAGCCATTGTGATTGCTTCTCGTTTTATCTTCTCTCCCCTTTTAGATGAAGAATGAATTTAACCAGGCTGGGTCAAGGCCTACTCCATCTAAAGTAAAAGAAAGAGGTTTGACAAGGTAGTTTTACATTACAAACTATTAATTCGCACAATTTCTAAGAAACTGTAGTTGTAGTCATTTTAAGGCCATGGGGGATGTTGGGGAACATGAGGAAAGCTTACAAATCACAAGCTGAAGGCTTTCTTCTATTACATCACAAGTGGCTTTATCATGTTATAGAGCCCAGGAAAAAATTGTTTTATTGCTTTACATGTGGGCTCTATAACGTGATGAAGCATCTGCTTGAAAACTGAATTGACAAATCAGTTGATGCACACATGATGCTCTTTATTTTATAATAATATTATATCTGTCAGTTTGTATGCACACTATGATTGATTAATTTAGTGGGTTGTATTTCATTATAGGACCACCAAATTCAAAACTTTGTTTGAACTGAAATCTTCTCCTTCCATTTGAACCTAGAGATATTTTTAAGAAGTACGCATTTTTTAAGAAGTACTACCAATCTCATTTTCTTAGTCTGTAACACACAGTACTAGCCTCAAACTGAGTTAACAAGAGGTAAATATGAACTGTATGCAGATCATAACATTGATATGAAGACTTCAAAGTAAGAGTGCCAATGGAATGACAACTTTCTCCGACTGATTTTCTTGAAAAGGAATCATGATACCAAGACTTAACTGCAGCTCTAATGTTGATTATTCCTAATAACCTTTGCTATAATGATGTTTCTTATAGGCCTAAAAAGAGTGTGCAAGCTGCACCAGCACTTCCCACCCGTCAGTCACTACGTATTCGCAAGAAAGACCCTAGTGGTGTATTACTTCCTGAGCCATCAAATGCAGAAATCCATCAGTCTGTTGACGAACATGTGAGTAGTTTTTTAAATGTTCTGATTAACTCAGTTTGCTAATGAAACACGTTTCAGATCACTATACAAGGGATAAAACTTTGGGCAGTTGTTTGGAGAAGCTAGATCTGTGTTTCAGGCAAATGACTTCACTTACTCAGCTACACATGTGTACCTGAAGGGAGAGGTCCAGACAAGGCACACTTTGTCCCAAGCCCTAAGGACAGGCTGGATTTAGGATTTATGTCTGTAATTGCCCTGACCTAGAACACTGTGTGGTTAAAGATCCTATTCACAAAACATGAACCAATTTGCAATGGAAGCTATTCAGAATCACCATCTTTTTTGGACATAATTTCCCATTAATCCCACCCTAATTAATTATTGTTTGTTACTGCAAAAGATTTGTAACTTGAGCTAGTTATGTAGGCATTTCTTTTCCAACTTCACATGATGGGTGAGAAAATGGTATGTTAATTCTGCCATGAGAGCTCAGTATGTTTTACTGATTGACTGAATTAAGATAGGTTATTCAAAACAAGTGTATTTATCAATTTGTTGGTCAACTAACAACAATTCATGAAGGAGTAAGTAAATGATATTCAAGAACTTCAGAACCATGATAATGAACCACTGTGAGTTCTCAAGAAAGGAAAATCACACATCTTTTGAAGCTGGAGCTTTACTAATCACTGACAACAGAATTTAAGCTGAATTTCAAGGGGCAGTCACTATTTGATCTTTCCCACATAATGCACAAGACATAAACCACTCCATTGCTGGGAAGAGCCCTTGCCAGTACTCAACATGAAAACAAAAATATTGAAGCAGGTCAGGAGAAAGAAAATATAGTTTGTCAATTACAAAAAGGAGTTATTCATCATTATTTTACAATATTTACAAATCTATTTTATAGACCTACTTTTTAACAATATCTATTCAGTGGTTCTCTGTTGAAGCCAATTTTTACAGATGAAAAATTGTTCGAAGTTGAATATTCTGGTCTGGTCTATTTTCCAGGAAGAATGCTTTTTTCTGATGTAACGCTCATTTGCCCTTTTTTATTTAGAGAACCTTTCATTATTTTCGTCAACCTGCACTAAGAGCTGTTGGATTAAAGAATATTAACTCAGTTGTAGCATCACAAACTGTCTATGATTCTGTAAGTAAAGCCAGTCACAAAGCAACAAACTGTCAAATGGTAGTCAAGATGCTTTCACTAGTCCAATATTTTTTCTGCACTTTTACATAGGTACATTCCTCATGGTTTCTTACAAATATATGCTGTTGAACCATAGTTGTGGAAATGTTTCAATTTCAACAGCTCAACAGGTTGAATTTAGCTCGATCTAGTTTATTTTTCATTAATCAAAGGGGCCTCTTTTTCTGTGAAACTTTGAAAGATGTGATGATGGGAAATATCAGGGAAGTTATTATGTTGAGAGGAACAAACCAATCAGTTTGGATATAATTTGCCTTTGTGTCTTGATATCCAAAGGGTTTGGTCCTGATACATTAAACATTCCGGACACATTTCAGACATTATAATCTCAGGATTTCTGATTTCGATAGTTATACTTTGGTTGTTAGGAGCAATTTAGTAATTAATTTTTTTTTTTAATACAATCTATGGTGGAAATTAATTGTTCAATCCATTAAACCCTATGAGTGACCTGAGCATCTAATTTCTCCTCACGGTAGCACTGTTGAAACATTCGTCAAGAGCATGAGGATAAAGGAAATCAGGTCACTAACCTAAGATACTTTGATTGTCAAACGCATTCTCCTTGTCAGTACCGAAGAAAATGTGGAGAGAAGAGTATGGAGAAAATTAATACTGATGTTAGGGTGTAAATTAATGCTCAATTAAAGATGGTGAAGAGCTGCTTGAAAACTTCAAATAAATTTTAGCAGCTCATATAAGCTTAAATTTACAAATATACTTCGATGCAAAATAGAAAGGTTTTTTTTTTTTTTTTACATGTTGTTCTTCCAGCCACGTAAAAATGGACCTTTGGAAATGAAGCCTTGTAATAATGTTGAGCAGACACATTCACAGGAATTTATTGATGAACTGACAGTCTTGGCAAACATGGTAAGTTCAAAGCTTATTGCCAGATACTAGTTGTGGTCACATTAATTGTGGTTGGCATCTTCCTCTGATTTTGGATTTGAGTTTTGCCAACTTTTAGTGATTACTGTGTATTTGTGTTGAGAAATCTCAATCCTGCTGTTGAGATGATTTTTGATCGAGGGGTCAGTTGAGGCAAAATGTGTCGCCAAGTTGCAGCATTCATGTGGGCACTTGCTGGGAAGAGGGTGACACCTACAGAGGCAATTAGTGGTCACACAGTCATGGCAACTCTCTCAGATTATCTGGAAGCCTCCTGCATACAGAATCAGTGATTCTCGTGGTCTCCGTTATGGTTCACCAAATCTCCCAGATAAAAGCGATGGACTGGCTTTCAAGCGCTGTATCCCCAGATTTACTTATATGCAACAGCATCTTGAGAGAAACTAAACACAAGATTTCTTCGTTTTTTGGGAAGGGAGATCAATTTGATTGGGGGGTCAGGAGTATATCCATTGTTTTTAGTTTCAGGGAAGGGGAGGCCGGGTGTCACTGAGTAAATGCTGCAGTGGCGTAAGAGAAAAAAATCCAGATTTAGATCTTTACAGGTTGGCATTTCTGTGGTTCCTATGGATGAGATTAAGGAACTCTGTTTGAAAAAGAAAATGCCTTCTGTCACTCTTTCCTCTCTTTGACACCTGACATCTGGTTACATAATAAATATTTTGATAAGTTTGGATAAACTTATGCAGACCTCAGTTAACTCGGAATGTAAATCTGTACAAATATGTGCTATTTAACTTCATTTTAAACTGTTTTTTTCAGAGAAGACAATCCTAATCAGTTTAAACATATTGCACTTGGCAAACTTAATGTTAGCTAGGAGCTGACATGCAACTTTATCTGTTTGACAGAGTGCCTCTTAATTAGAACTTCTACCTTTGAAATTTAATACTTTTTATAATAGTTACTAAATAAATGATAATAATATTAATGATGACTGCCTATATTGTGTCTCTCACAAGCTGCAAAAGTCAAAAGAAAATGCTGATGATGATGCAGTTCAAGACTCAAATGTTAGGAGGTGGGTTACTTCATCAAGTGCAGTGCTGTTAATGTCAATTACAAAAGGTTTTCTCTAGGTTGTTTGTGGCCAGTGTTTTTAGCAGCTCATCTAAGTCCTGGCTCGCTTGAAGTGAGCTTTTGTTTCCATTGCTCAGGGCAGCAATATTTACAAATGGTTTTTACCGAATGTATAGCCTATTACTTCTCTCTAGAGTTGGCCACACTCACCACACTCACATGGATTTTGATCACCCAGTGAAGCCTTATGTGGCATGGCATATAAAATCACTCTAAGAAAGTTTCACTGCTTTTCAATTCTATTTTATGATCATATTTTTTAATGAAATACTATCTATGATAGAAGTAAAAAAAAATTCCTTTTTCTTTTGCAGCTATAAAAGATCCATGCAGTCTTTGAAAATCACAGAAGGGCATGTTGCCAAACTTGTTCCACACAGAATCTTTTCAATGGCTTTCCATCCCGCCAGATACAAAACACTTGTGCTGGCAGGGGATAAGTGGGGAAACATTGGCATATGGGACGTGGTAAGAAAATGGTTTTCAATTTAAGAACAAAAGGTATACTGCTGGATGCCATTTGGTGCAGTAATTTTCTTACTTACTACATCTTTTGCCCATCTTTGTGTTTGTCCTAGAACTCGTCAAAGGGAGATGATGGTGTGTACCTGTTTCAACCACACTCTCGTCCTATCAACTGCATATCATTTGAACCAGGAAATTGTGGAAAGCTTTATTCATGTAGCTACGATGGGACACTGAGGTGCGGTGACTTCAGTGCAGCCACTTTTCAGGAGGTAACAAAGAAATGATGTCAAATAGGGGTGTGGAAATGACAATGATTGTGTTAAAGAACTTCAACTCTTAATTTGTGTACTTAGGGGTGCAAGCAATGCCAAAAGATTGTTTTTAGCAAAAATTACTCTCATTAAGTTTCAATGGAATATGTTATTGCAGTTTTTAAAATTAAGAATAAAGGCTGATAGTTTCGAAAGAAACTGTTTGGGGCTGCGTCAGTAGGAGTAACGAAATAATTTGGATATATCAACAAAGTTGAAGTGGTAAATTGGCCACCGTAACGATTACAAAAGCTGACGTTTCGAGCGTTAGCCCTTCGTCGGAGCGAATAGAGGAATTGTGGGTTGTGTGTGCTTTTAAAGGTAGAGAATGGAGCTACGTTATTGTTGGGAACATGGCAATAAAATTAAGAGTTGCATTGTGTTAAAAAGTCTATTTGCAGTATGGGTGTGCACCTGTTATGATATGCTGTAATTTTCTTTGAAAAAAAGCAACTGAGTAAACCTCAAGAAGTGTTGTTGACGTGACAAAAATATGAATGTTCCATAGTTTTCACAAGAATTTATCTGCCTAACGTTTCTCTCCGGTAAATTTGATTATTTTTGTTGTACGCCTCAACAATGAGTTCAGAGAAGATTCAAATGGCCTGTGAAGTTGGGAGTTTGGGTGCATCGCCACTCATTACTTAAGCACAGATAAAACCACCTGCTATGCCTGCTGAGAATTATTTCCTTTTCTTATTCTTCCAATATGACCTTTGTTTCAGGTTTACTCCTTTGATGATGACGACTATTCCAGGTTCATGTACTTTGCGTTTGGTTCACCCAGCAGTAGTACAATTTTAGCGGCAACTGACTCTGGTTATGTCATGGTAGTTGATACAAGAACAAAAAGGTAAGATTGTTACCAATGCTGTGTGCACAAAAGGGGCTCAGTACTGTCCTTAAAGTGCCTATAACCTCAAAAAAAATTTTTGACTATATTAAATCTCTGGTTCTGTCCTCGTGTACCGGTTCACAAGAGCCGATACAAAAGACCGAACAATACACAACAGCTAACCAATGCCTCCTAAACAAAGAAAGAACAATGGTAATTCCCTTGTGAACTGGTACACCAGGACAGAACCCAATCTCTCTATTGCAATGAGCAAAATGCCGCAAAATTTTTTGTGTTGGTTAAAACCTCGATTTGAAGTTTGAGAAAACATTTCTGTTCTCCAACATAAATTAGTAATAGATAGTTTTGGAGCTAATTGCGCTCTACTAGGGTGTTTCCCGGCTGAAATCGAGCGATGTTAACCTGCTGACCAGATTGGGCCCATCAGCGACGAGTAGGTTTAAAAAAAAAAAGCAAAACAAATCAATGCCTTGTGCTAAGCCAGCCATATTTCCATGGCTACTCGTCTCTGAATGGTCCATTCTGGTCACGTTGTCAAAAATGATTATTTTATTATGATTGGTTTACATACCGCTTCCTTTCCATCTTATATCTCAGTTTGAAAAAACCTCTTATATGAAATAGTCGCTGAATCAGGCAATTACTAACAGTAAATGTCTTTCAGAAAAACCATAGCAGAGCAAAGTTATGGCCTTCATGACAAAGTTATCAAGTGCATTGATGTCCATCCATTAAACCGTAATCTATTCCTCACATCTTCTACCGACGGGTAAGCTTTTGCACTAGGGCGTGGTTTGTGATACATGTAGCAATCTCGGCCTTCTGACCTCTCAATTTTGTGGTTAACTAGATGTTCTGGCATGACAGTGAAAGATCCCTTTCCTCTTGCTTTTTCCGACGTGTAAATGAATTGTGTCGGCTGAACTATTAAAACTGCACAGAAGTAACAACCAGAAGCAAAGATCCACAAATAGGAGGCGGAGAAAATCAGCTTTTGGTCCAATTTTTAGCCAACCGGCCGGCTCTGAACAGTGAGTAGCCAACCGGCTCTGAGTTGTTTCTGTCTCTTACCGAGTCAAACACTTTCAACAGTTTAGAATCAGTCGTTTTTCTTCTGTTGGAATATAGTCACCAAAGCCTCCTGACGTTTGTAAGCCTTAATCATTCACGGAATTTTGCTATCTTCCCTTTTCTCTTGAATTTTCAGGTCAGTAGCTTTCTGGGACATACGGAACATTAAAAACATGAAATCGAGGTTAAGCAGTTTGCAGCGAACCCGTGTTGCTTCGTCTGCCTATTTTTCTCCTTTGACTGGCAGTCAGGTGTTAGTGACGTCATTGGATGATTACGTTACGTAAGTATTTGCGCGGCCGGATTGAATTCTCCCTTTTAATAAGAGTACGGCTAAGTGTAGTAACTCCGTCACTTACAGGACGGAATGACCATAAAGAATTTTCCCCCTAAATTTTCTTAAAGAAAGGTGACAAGAAGGTAAAGGGACAAAAACTTTGGACAGGGTGCGAATATTCTGTATTAAAATCTCAAGAGGGAAAGGGGTTGTAATATATTTATTGTAGAATATATGTTCATCAAGGTGCAGTTCTACTTACCTGATACACTGAAGCTCTAACCATTTGTGGCATTTTTATTTTAATCTTTAGTATTAACGACGTTGACGCTTCTGGGATAGTCACTACTACACCAGAGTGTTGTTTCAGGTAATCCAAATTATGAAGATTTGCATCATTTCCGTCGGTGTGTGTTTGTTAAGCTCTTTTCTCAGCCATGATTGTTCTGTGCTCCATTATTAGGGGTTGCTTTATTTTTACAACTGAAGAAAAATCGCAACTTTAACCACCATACGATGACGCAGTAGCATGTTCGTCATTATAACAAAAAATTTTGAAGTGTCTGAACCATTCAAGGATTGCTTTGAGTTCTCTTCACTTTGATCTGTGATTGGTCCAGAAATTTCGCGCGTTCTCTCAACTAATGATATTTCAAACTAAAACTGGTCTTGACTTACTCACCGTTTCCCGCGCTTGAACTCCGGTTGCCTGTGTCTACGTTTTGCTTCGAGCTCTCATTGGATCTTGGAGATATTTCCTTTGTTCTGTTGTTCCCAGTGATTACTTTGGTTTGTCATTACTGTTGAAGAAGGATTTGTTCAAAGGTAAAGTGTGTTTACGAGCCTACTGTCCCATTCGTTTTCCCGCCCTTCTGTGGTTTTGTCGCTGAGGAGCGCGCGTTTCGGTACTCCTTTCGTCCTGTAGCGGCTATCTTAGTTTTGTCATGTTTTGAGCTGGAAATAAATAATTTTATTTGACGACTTTTTACTGGTTATTCAACTGTTCTGGTATCGATAACAGTTACGACACCCTTCTGAATCAAGCTCAAGTCCGTCTTGTCACAATTAAGTGCATTAGAAGGCAATAATGATCAACGCTTCGCAAGTTTTGGCTCCTATTTGCTCCGCCCGAGTGGACAAGCCCTTTGTACTGTTACTCATCCGCGTTCTGGTGTTTTTTTCTTAGACATGACAATCGAGTTGGCCGCTGGCTGACAAGTTTTCGCGCCGCTTGGGATCCTAAATTTGAAAAATATGCGGTCGTTGGGAGCATGAGGAGACCACGACAGGTGAATATCCCTTTACCATGTGAAAATTTAACTTCACTATACACAAAGTTTGTTTTGTCAACGCAAACTCCGTTGCTTTATGATTGAGCAATGATAAATTCATCAAGGCACCAGTCATGGAGAATTTTGAGGATGAAAATTTCCCTAGATTCCTTGCTATTTTCATACAAATGCCCCTGTCAAGGTATATACACAAGCAATTAGTGCCATAGAGGAGCTTTTCGTGATAAACCTCTCTCCTTTAAGTTGAAAAAACATCGCTATTTTTTCTTTATTTTTTAACCCGGTCTCGACGAATGCGCACTTGTTGTTAATCGTTTCATTACGGTCTGAAATCTCTACGATCCGCACAGACTTTGAAGCCATCAATCCGTAAGTTTGTCTAGGTGATGCAGTTTTTTTCTCTTTCCTGGCTTCTGTCTTTGTGAAAAAAATAAAGTACGTCAGAAAGCTACCGAAAACCCCGCTTCGGTTGTAAATGCTCATGCCACATTAGCAACGTAAACCTTTTTTCTTTTCCACAGATCGATATTTTTTCCTCCGAGCAAAAAAGTAGCGCATTGATGCACTTAACCCACGAGAACCTCAACTCTGTGAATTCCTTAAACGTCTTTCATTCCTCGGTTAACATGCTGGCTGGTGGAAATTCAAGTGGAAAGGTTTACCTATGGACGGAATAATTGCCCTTCGTCTCTCCATTTATCCGCTCACGTGAATGTCTACGAGTAAATTTCGCGTGGGATATCGAAGCGTTGAAAGGCAAAAGAAAAATGGAAGTGGGCTGGCTGGCTAGCTAGCTGGCGAGTCGACATTTTAAGACGTCGTAGGGAACTGAAGAACTGCATGTCCGTTAAAGCAAGAAATGAAAAAAAGCAACTATAACCAAATGGAAATAAGAAATAGTTTTCTGGAAAATTCACGACTTCACACTGCGTGTGGCGAAGCGTGAATACACGAATATTGTTTCGATAATTACACAAGTAATCGGTAACGATCAATATGTTGTGTTAATATATTCCTCACCGCTATTTATATTCCGATTCCCAGGCTAGTCTTAGCTTTTTAATCGTTTTCTAGTTCTAGTAGCGGAAGACAGATCTGTAATCCTCAAAGAGTAGTGTGACAGTGACTAAGTAAAAACGATTTTATTGGTTGAACAATTTGTTTTTAATCCCATTGTGTCGTGTGATATGATGCTACAATTACATTGACTGCATTCTGTTACAATTGTGTTACCCACCGAACCCCTGACGGAAACACCATAATAAAGTTGTTATAATTATTCTCGTGTGTCAGTGTTTTTTCTGTTGATTTTTGTTTTGTTTGGTATTTTTTAATATATTATGGTGGCGATTCGAGTCTATGTTGTACGAAACCCCTTTTTGAGGTGTTCAGTGCGATCATGGGGGCATACCCAAAAAGCTCAGGGCGTCATACGAAAAGAAAAAGAAAGAAACTTGGGGTCGACCTTTGTCAACTGTTTATACAATGTTTTAATATACAAAGAAACAGCTGTTTAAGAGCTACGGAGTTTCCAAGACTCACGAAAGTCATTTTTGTGTGCCACTTTTAGCTCCCAGTTAAAGGAAATTCTCCCCTTTAGACAACTGGATCTTTGTCCGACGTAATTCCATTGGCACAGCTTTTCATTTGTACCATATGTTCCTTAGAATCTTTTCTTCTGCCAGGTACTCTGACAAATTAGGCAATAACAAGGGTGTGTCAAGGCTTCTTCACTCATCCGTGTAGTGTTTTAATGATAGCCGCGGTACTATGTTCATGGACAAAAGTTCTTGGAACAGAAGTTTACAAGCGTAAGGTATTTTTAGAGTTGAAATGTTGTGAGAAGATAGACAGTAGTGACACCTGAAAAAACAAAATATATATGGAAAGCAAAATTCATTGTTCTCCATGATCATACAAAAGTCGCAACATAGGGGTGCAGGCTGACCAAAGAAACTTGAAGAGCCTCAAACGATTGATCAGGAAAGAAAAAAAAAAACAGGCACGAACACACACACAAGGAATTACGCATTCCTGTCAATTGACAACGAAAGGCCATTAAAACTAAGCTGTCAAAAGTTAATCTATGCAAGAGCAAGAGCAAGACCATGTCTTTTATGACAAATTGTAGGCGACTCATCAAAGCTGTAAAAGGGTCTACATCTCTTACGAGCGCGAAACAAAATCCGACTTCCTATTAGCTCGTTTCTCGCCTAAATTCGGATCATTTGTTTGGTGTTCTTATTCCCCCGAAAAGACATTCTTTGGACAAAAATCTCTCTTTTCTATCTTTTGGCTGGTTATTGAGCCTGAGTTCCACTGAATATTAAAATAGCGCATTCACATGAGGACAAAACTCAGTGACATTAACCCTACTGGTGAGATGTGCCATAAACTAGCTTTAAATTCTAGTGTTGGCGGCTATATCCTTACCATCCTGAGTATCCCATCAGGCCACACTCGCTGCACACATCTACTTCAAAGGCGTCGCTTGAAATCATAAGTCTTTCAAGAAGTAGCATGCTGTTCATGGGAAAAAAATGCATTTGTAAATGGGATGGGGAAGAAGGTGCAATTTTATTTCTGAGGAAAGAGATGATAGATTCCTCTCTGCTAGAACTTATTTTCAGTCTTGTTTTCCTTGCTTTCCCTCCTAAGCTTCAAGCGACTCAATATTTGACTTTTTTTCCTTCCGTCTGCAGAAGGTTTTCTATTGGTTATTTCAAAATTCTCCTTCTCCTTTACTATAAAACTCGACTGGGCTAGGAAAAGAGAATTGCTCTTATACAAATACATACACAGCTTAATATCAAGACTACTTTTTCTTTACCAAACTCACCTGGCACCATAAGCTATTAAACAGTCCCGTTCCATCTCTCCCAGCCTCAATCCTCCGTCCCTGATAACACAAACAAATGTCCGTAAGAAACGCATTTTTAGAGAGTCTGTCTGTAAAAGTTATATCTTGATTGTTCTTGCTGTAAGATTACGGCTTTCTTATTGGATGAAGAGATAAGCGCCACTCATTCAGTCAATCAGATCCAAGAGAACAACTAATAACAACTTGAACGAAAAAACTTCCCCGCGCGTGACGCTGGACAAGTGACTTACTTGCTTCCTCTTCTCAACTGCTACTGTTCTTTTTCATTCGTTGTTCTTTGTGCCCGCTGAAGCTTTTCATTAAAGTTTTCCGATGCTCAAGCTGACACTTTATCATGCAGCTTCAGTTTTAACAATAATCTTGGAATTTTCTTAATAGAAGGTTAAAGATATTTCTCACCGTGATCGTCCTTCTGTTGGTTGTCTCGTTAGCACAGCTCGGGGACCCTGAAAAGATCATGAAAAACATTACCCAATAAAATACAACAACATCCTTACAAGACAGAAACCCGTCTTGCGCTCATACCCACGAGACACGCCGATACAGTTTCGTCAAGCGGTAAAAGGAAGCAAAAAATTTGGAGCTCATTGGAGCTAATTCTAATTTAACAACGTTTCATACAGTCACTGAGGAACGTAAAGTATGATACTGACCTTAGCACGAGCATGCATCTTATCCAACACCATGTGTTTCAGTTTTTGATAATAAACCGGACCAAAGAAAATATAAGCTGTTAACGGCTCCCTGAAATGAAACATCAAGCAGTGATCAAACGTTAGTTATAACATTGTTCCTCGGCTACTATATATCCTTTACACGAAAAAAATTTCAAAATTAACGGATAGGTCAGCTCTCCTGTCATGAAAAGGAGTCAAAAAAAGGGAAACTAAAGATTATGATTTTGGAACAGAAAGCGAGTATTCTGTTGATTTTCTATTTCGTTTTTAGTTTAAACAAAAAAACAAACAAAAAAAAAACAATACGCCTCAAAAACACACCGTGAATTACTACCATGTGTGGTAGTTTTTAACTTTTGTTAAGACAACTTTATTCTGACTTCCTAGAAACACGATGAGGGCCACGAAAATGACAATGACTTCACCACCGTTTTAAATTTCACTAGCAAGAGCGTTTTTTAACATGAAAACTCGGATTCGCGTTCCATTCGTAGCCTGTGTAAACGACTTACCCCGTAATACCAGACGTGACGAATTCCTTGCCAGAGTAATTAAAGCCGTGTTCTACGAGAGCACTACAAACATCCTCCACTTTGTCGCCTCCAAATGCTGAAAACAAGTTTTAGTTTTTAATTAGTACAGCAGTACGTTTGGTTCACTTGTACTAATTGTTTTACCTGTTCCGTATCCAAAGTGTCCTTCCAGCACACCAGCTTTGCCTGCCATCAGCTCTATCAGTTTACCAACAGTCATCCGGGATGGAAAGCCGTGCGGGTTCATGATCTGTCACATAATCCAGTTGTTAGTTCGCAACATTGCGAGACATCGCTTTCACTTAAACCTTCAATTCCCAAGATCTGATTGTTAATTCTCCCATCTGGCTGCCACACATTTCCTTCTAAACTAATTATTTTTTTGTTCATTTTTGCTTGTTCCCTAAAATGACAACTTTTAAAACAAAAGCAGACCAAAACAAAAAAACAAAACCAAAAGCAAATCTGAATCGGCGATTAGAAGAAAGGTGATACTTACAATATCAGGACAAATACCCTAAAAATAAAGGAAAAACTTGTAAACATAGAGCGTAAATGGTCAAGAATGAGCGTAAAAACCGAGATGTACATTACAGGGCTCGACACTAACGGTAGCTAACTAGCCATAGACAAGTAGAAACTTTCTAATGGCTAGTGGTTTTCGATTTCCACTAGCCAGTTTGGCTATTAAATAAACTGAAATTGTCGTAACATTTAAGTTGTCGCTATCCACTTGCTTAGTAAGTTGAAAATTCTGGTGTCGAGCCATGCATTAACAGAGATGTACATTAGCTTTCTTACCAAATCAGTGAAAGGCATATCTTCCTGATTTACGATTAAGCCACAAACGCTGAAAGAACAAACGCATAATTGATTACTGCTGAAGTTTACACTTCCTCTAATAACTATAACTTGCCTTATAGTTAAGTAATTTCAGGGACTAACACAATATCTGTTACCAGTCAAGACCTACATCTCAGGGCAGAATGCTAAATGGCCGTCTAACGTAGTACCCAGGAGCTACAGGTTAAGGTGCAAGGCCTGGTTGCATAGTCTGACATTTGTGTGACTCACCCCTTCTGGCCGTGTCGACTGCTGAATTTGTCCCCAATCTCCGGTCTCCGCGTCTGTCTTTGAAGAATCTTTATGAGAAATGCCTAACATTGAAACACGAACAACTTATTAGGGTAATTCATCGACAGAACAAATATTGTTAAGTAAAGATGGAGTTTAGTTATCGGCGCGCCTTGTCAAGAGAACGTAAACGTCAGAAAACACTCGTAAGTGTTAAAAATTCAATACTTGAGGTAGTTAAAGAACATCACTGTAGAAAAAAAAAACATTCTACCTCTTCAGCATTTGAAGTCACCAGCACTCGTTCAATGTAAATATCTTTTGGCCCTTTGTACCTAAACGCAAAACAAAAAGCAAGGAGCATAAAAGCACAAGTTGCGACGAGTTAACATACGAAGAGGAGAGAAGAATACTAAAGAGTGTACTAGCGGTTAATAATTTGGAAGTTCAAATAAAGCTGTTGTAACGGTTTCTTTCAGCCAGGAAAATGATGCCACGATATGATCTAACAAATAATGCTCATTAAAATAGTTACTTACGACACAGGTACATCTCTGTATTCAGGTTGGGGAGGCGGTTGGCCTGGTGCCACTGTGATAGACCGCAACAAAAAGAGAAATCAATTTAACCTTTTAACTGCTATGAGTGACCAAGACAGAATTTCTCCTTACAATATCAATACAATATCAAGCAGACAAGTGATGAGAATGAAAAAAAATATGATCGTGGGATTATTAGTTGATTCAATGCCACATTCTTCGAACTAACATCATATGAATTGTGTTGCAGGCAGTAAGAAGAATTAGTATAATTTCAAAGCTGAGCAAAGAGTTTCCAGCAATCTGATTGGTCGAGCGGTTCCTTATATGACGCCATATAAACCGCTCCACTAAAATGTTAATAAATGTTAATAAATGTTAATAAATGTTACTAAAATGTGACGATTTTAGAAATTTCTCTGTTGTTCAGCTCTGAAATTATACTAAAACAATTATTCGCCTCAGGTTCGGTTAATGTTGTCATATAATCCCATCGACTTCGTCTCGGGGATTATTCCACGATATTCACCTCGCCTTCGGCGAATAATTGTTAATTACTAATGAGATCTAAGAAGGGAAAGGGTTAGAATCCACTTGTTTTTCCAAATGTGAATAGTAACGGTACCACGGCCATACCTGGCTGAAGTCCTGAAGCAGTGACAACAGGCATGGATTTGTTGATGAGAACCTGTTTGTTTTCCACCCTCTCACCTACCAAACAAAGAAACAGAAAAAGCTATGTCAGACGGTTTGGCATCTGATTTTTTGACGAGAACCTGTTTGTTTTCCACCCTCTCACCTAACAAACAAAGAAAGAAACAGGAAGAGCTATGTCAGACGGTTTGGCATCTGATTGGTTGAAGTGATACGGCGGTTTTAGCGGACCAGTGAAAGGAAACGTGAAGTGAAAAATACTCAAACTTGTACAGCACTTTGAAAAAAAAAAAAAAAAAAAAAAAAAGAAAGAAAAAGAAAAAGAAAAAACTCGATGGCATTCACATCTGACACAAAACTGGCATCAAAATTCAGGTTGGGTTGATCTTGGGCCTACGTTCATCATACTTTGAACATCCAGATTCAGAGACTTTCCATACACCACCAAGGATTACAAATAAAACAAAAGTACCTGGAGAGCAAATGCCATCAGCGTCAAGAGCTCTGTGTCTCCAGATTACCTCACCCGTCGCTGCATCTCTACTGGGACCTGAAAAAATTACAAAACGTAAGTCGGGTAAACCTGATTCGTACAGTTAATGAGTGCTTATGTCATTGCTGGGCACACCTATTTTTTTTCTTTCTCAGATTCTAGAAGCTCAACTACATACACTTCCCTCGTGGTTTACCTTTGTTCACACGTTTGGACAATATTATAATTTTGCCATGTTTTCCTTGAACTTTTGATTACCATGGAAACACATTCTAGTAAACATCATTAAACAAAAACGCAACGTCTATTGGGAACACATGTTAGATGTTGTCGAATTCCTCAGTATTCAAGATTGGCAGCCTACATATTTTAAGTGCAGTTACTTGTTGTAACTTGATTTTAAAAAGCAGAAGTTAAGTTTTGGTCAACTTTAAAAGAGGAAAAATTCCTTCTTACACAAGGTGCTTCGCCAGTAAGCTGTTACAGTATTCCCATCCCCAAGTTATGAAGGTAAATGGTAACAACCTCCTGTCAGTATCGGGTCCTTCGAGCCGTCATTCACTGAATTTTAAGAGACTCTTTCTAATTCTTTACTTTTGATGTAAACATTGGTCACCAAAGGGGCAACCTTCGCTGCAAGCTACATTCCCAAGAATGTTCTCAACTGGAATATTCACAGTCTGAAGCACTCAATACAGTCAGTATAAAATCACGGTTAACGAGTATTGAATATCCTCTTATTATTACTGTCTAGGCACTTTTGGTATGTATTTCTTTTGATGGAAAGTCAAAATTAAAATCAAAATACGAGTTCAAAGAAATTAGTCTTACCCATGACACGGTCAAATGTCTTTCAGATGCAATCGAAGTGAAAAGGATGAAGATACAAGAGAGAAAAAAGGAAAAGAAAAATATGTTAGATATAAGAAGGGATCTTTCTTAACGATATACTACGAGCAGTCCTTCACACCCAGCTTTCTCCTTTGAGCCACGGACGATACCTGGAGGCGAGAGGAAGCGCAGGTACCACAGAAGCTGAGATGGGAATTAAACACCTCACATTGCTAGATACCCACTAAACCTTTTGCCCCTTTGATAACAGCATTAGTCTGTAGTGGTTCAAAAGTCTGGATTTACCACCAGCAGCAAAAACTGCTAATATTCGTCTCTCTTTTTGTTACAACCCGAAACTCATACATTGACAAAAACATTTCACTTAGTGTTTACCTGATTTGCGTATCTTTTCAACAAACACGTTTGCTTCCTGTATACTAAGCAGCGTCCAAACCCTGCACAAGAAACAATAATAATCATTTATTACACGACTCGGGCAGTCAGAGGGCCAATAACTAAAATCAACCAATCAAGATGCTCTATTGCCGGTCCAATATTCTCTAAGTATTGGACCGGGCACTGTCCCGAATGGTCCCGAATGATACCGCTCTTGTGTCCCTTTGAACTTCAGTCGTATAATAAATCTCTTATTAACCAAGCTTGCACGGGACCGTATTGGAAGAACATCGGCCCTCGGTCTTCTTTGTACGGACCTCACTGCGCTCGGTCCGTACTGTCAAGACCTCGGGCCGATATCCTCCCAGTACGGCCCTCGCGCTTGGTTAATAAGATATATTTAACACTTCACCTTCCATACGTGACCGAGATATAATTTCTCCTTACAATATCAATACAATATCGAGCAGACAAGTGACGAGAATGAAAAAAAAATATCAATAAGGGAGATATCGGTTGATCCAATATCAACTTCTCCAAACAAACATTATAAGAAGTGTATCGCAGACAGTAAGGAGAATCACAAATGAGATCCTGGGAAAGGTTTGAAGTTAAATGGGCCCAAGAATCGCGGTTTTATTTACGTATAACACCAGTGGTCGATAGTACCTCTGTCAACAGACGCTTTGTTTAGTATCAGTGCATCCTGAAATGATACAAAACTTCAAGTTATTATTTAGCAACAACTAATATTAAAACTACTACCAAAACTAAAGTGAATCACTGGGGGAAGGAAGACACATTCAATTGACTTTACCTCAATGTCGTAACCACTGTAACTCATAACAGCCACTGTTGCATTTTGACCTATAAGACCAACAACAAAAAAAAACAATAACAATACATTACAGAGGTGCACAATCAACAACGAAGACGTTCGAGAAATGCAAAAAGTATACCTGCTGGCAGCTTGTCGAATTGTATCAAGTCTATAGTCTGAAAAGAAAAGTGGAACCATAGAGCAAAAACATTTTCTTTCTCTAGCTTTTTCACAATTTGAAGAAATTTGAGTCTAACAAAAAATTACCTTTGTTCTCACTAATGGCACTTGAGGGTAACACAAGAAGTACAAAAGCGTGTCTATTCTGGAACACAAAACAAACAAATCATGAAATCCTTTGTTGTCCACTGGATCCGTTAATACCCGATTTGCTTTTAAGCCGTTTGATAACCAACAAAGAAGCTTACAATGGTAAGCATTTTAACAAAATAAAATGTGCGTTACCTGTTACGTTGGTTGTACCCAATGGAACCTAGAATAGATTAGAAAATGAATATGAAGAAACGACAAGTGTAACGACACGGGTCTCTAAGAACAAAATAATTTGAATATATCAACAAAGTTGAAATGGTAAATTGGCCACCGTTACGATCATAAAAGCTGACGTTTCGAGCGTTAGTCCTTCGTCGGAGCGAATAGGGGAATTGTGGGTTGTGTGTGCTTTTAAAGGCAGAAAAAGGAGCTACGTGATTGGTGGGAACATGGCAACGAGAAAAACACGAATAAATTAAGCACCTGACAAAGTTGACTGTATCAAGCGAATGCGTCAATGATCGCATAAGAATTCACTGCCTTGTGGGTAATTATTATTGCATGTTATAACCTTGTTGCTTTTATTAATCTTTATTTCTGTATGACTGACTAATGGTTTTCCTGCCAGTCTTTTAAAGGAATACCCGAGGTTCTTAATGTCTATCTATAGCTCGAACTAAATGTCTGTCTATGAGTTCATCACAACCAGTCCGGCTTAAGGTTGTTCTACCAGTCTTTGAATGACTACCTGTTTGGTGCTCTGTTCTGTTTATCTCCATTTTTTGCTCAGTCATCTCCCTGTCCACACCTACCCCAGCGAATGTAACTGTCTCAATGCATTTGTACGGTTGGTTCTCCCCATTTCGTCTAACCGTGGTCCCAGCCTTTTTCTCTAATATTATCGTTCTTAGTGTGCATGTACATGTATCGCTAATACCCTAACAGTGCCAAAATGTTAGTTTAATCGCTCAAATGCTCTCGAATTCTGTTGTAAATAGGCACTACCCCATTCTCCGATACACGTAAATAAAGAACAAAGTAGAAGAACAGTGTACACACCCATGGCTTGTTTGCCCATAGCACACTGGTATGTGTTTCGAGGAGATTGGTTATGATGAGGATATGGTATAAGCCCGGCACACACCCCAAGCAGCGTAAACGGCTCTATCTCCAGATGTGTTGTCTCCCTATAAAGTCAACTGCTACTCTTAGTGAAACATCATATCAATTGGTAAAATAGACAGCAGAGCAGGCGTGATTTTGGCGAGCGAGTACTTAGTATTTTCTTGGCGAAAATTATGGCCGTCGTCTTTGATTTTAATGGAAAGCGCCTCCCGGTTAGCTCAATGAATAGAGCGCTAGACTGTTGTGCGGGAGGTCGAGGGTTCAAGCCCCGGCCGGACCAACACTCAAAGTCTTAAAATAATTGAGAAGAATATGCTACCTTTCTATAACACCACGAAATGGTTATATATTCTAGTATTCTCGGATAGAGACGAATAAATGGAGGTCCCGTCTCCTACAGGGCTAGGGGTAGGAGACGTTAATTTCCCATGCACGAGATTACTGTGTGATGGATGTCCTCCCCTGGGGTGGGATGGGTGGGATTTATTGGGTGGACTACTTGCATGGTTCGCATATGTTCCGTTCTAGTCCTACCCTACTGCGGTAATGCAGTGAAAATGTTTAGAAACTGACGACTCTAACTCGAAATCAGACATGGCCGGTTGAATAGACGATCGCGCGTTTCTAAACGTTACTTTGTGTTATTGAGACGCCTACACTGCAGGCTATTGGTAAAATCATTCACTATTTGAAGAAGGTGACACTCTTCATATCATTTAGTAACCTCAGTCAATACTATCAGTGGGTATCTAGATGTAAGCAATCCCTCCAGCTCAAAACAAACCGACCGATTGGCCCTGCAGGGCGTTGGAATTCTGTTCATAAAAACAAGATCTCTTCAGTTGAGGCAGAATATCATAAATTAAATTATGAGCCGAAACGGAACCCTGCGATGCAGAAGTTGTACACTGCCAACAACATGATTTAAGCTAGTCTTGCCATACCTTGTAATTTCTTTCTCGTACAAGGATATTGCGCAGTCATTTTCCTCATTGACATCTAGGTACTCAACGAGACCATCATGTAAGAAATCTTCAAAGCTCCTGGTCATAATAAACAAAGGTATCGTATTCACAAGAGGCCTGGCACTAAAATATAAGAGAATAGTCTAACCTTTCGTACCTAAACCATACGTGGAAGGAGGACCGCTAAAAGCAGGTCACGATGAAAGAAAAATAACCCACAAAAAGCTTGTAAAGACACGTGTCTTGTTTTCCAATCGGCGTCAAAATGAGAGTTTAGATCACGTGACGAAGTCACCATTATTAAAGACAATAGCGAACGTTTTAAAAAACCACACTGCTAAAAATTGGTCTGATCGACCTCCAGAGATTATATCTACGATGATTTCAGTGAGAAGCAAAACTTCAGGTTTTGGAACTTGTTCGCTTACGAATGATGGATGTTTGACTGTAGGTTTGATTACCAGCCACTCTCAGGGAATATAAGCCCGCGCTCCCCCTTTACCCTCCCCGAGCCCCAAAGCAAAGACCAGACAGGAGGGAGCGACGGAAATCGAGCCTAAATTGACTGAAGGACGGGACGAGCGGATAACAACCATGCTACCAACATGATATGAAAACATAATAAAACATTGGTTATCAGGGGAAACAACTCACCTGAAGCCTTGCACGAGTTCTTGAATATATTGATCAGTCACTTTGGGTTTTCCATTTTTAACAATAATGTAAGGCCTAAAACAATTATCGAAGTCACGATGTATTAGATTACAAACGATACCATAGACGCAGTAAGGGCAAAAATTCTATGAAATTACCTGCAAACTCGTCCTCCATCAGATGCAATGTTTACAAATCTGTAACAAAAAAAGCTTGGTTATTCTGTTGGGCAAGGTCGATTGAACAAAAGTGAGGGCAAATTAGCAACAGCCTAACGAGCTACCTGTGCTGGTGATTTGGGCAAATGGAGACAAATTCACTGATGTAACCAGCTGAAAAATAACAGAACAATACCATGGAGTAAAAGTACCTTTAAAGAGTGAGCTGAGATATGCAGGAGTTAAGACCATATTTAGGATGAAAAAGGCTAATGGAGTTAAGAAAAGCTGATAATACTGAGTCTCCGTTACGAAAGCCCCAATTTCCTCTCTTTAACAAGTTGCCAAGCCTAGAGCTCCAAGTTTTCAATACGTTCCTTTTCTCCTCCCTTCCCATACAAAAAAAGCTGTAGGTATCCTTATCTTCATTTGGGACAGAAATCGTTTCTGTATAAATCACACTTGTATTTGAAAGCCTTTATAAATTTCCGTTTTAAATATTGACATTTTTACTACTATGTCCTAAGGTGTATATGTTGTAGTTCAATTTTATCCTTGGTTCAAATTTTATTTGCCTTTGTTCTCGGTCATTATCATACATTAACATGACCGAGAACAAAGGAAAATAAAATTTGAACCAAGGATAAAATTGAACTACAACACATACAGCCCGCAGTATTCTTACCGTGGGTCTCGTCAGTGCATTCTCCATCTTAACCTCCCCCCTTTTCTTCTTTCATAACACCGACTTCTCACTAAGCCTCCCGGCCGTTAAAATCTATCTCGACAATCGCCCTCTCCTGCCCATCTGAATATTTTCGGGCCGGGAAAATAAAGGGATCAAAGAACCGCTGACCAGGCCTGAACAAAAAGTACCATTCACCATGGCAAATCTGTTATACGCTACGTGTAAGTAGTATATTTTCATACGAAATAGCACGAGCAAAGAAAAAGGAAATGCCAAGGACACGCATACTGACAACAACTAATTCCTGAAAAAATGCTGCTTGCATGTGATTGTCCATTTCAAAAACCTCACCCACCTCTCCTCATTAAACGAAACGTCTCGACCAAGCGCTTGTAGTTCTTCACAACACCAAGAATGTTACCTAACGGTCAAATACGACATAAGAAACAAAATTAACTTTATTAAGTAAATGTACAAGTACAGGACATCAGGAAAACGTATAAATATCATGGAATAAAATTTCTTTTGAACTGCGAAGCTGGCTATTTTAGGTTTCTGACTTCTTCCATCGGAGATAAAATCTCACTACTTCTATCATTGATCGCTCTTAACATTAAAAGTAAGCTCAGGTTAATTGTAGAAGTGATAGGGAACAGAAGCAAATGGAAACAAAGAAACATTCTGACTCACCGTTAAGAAACACAAGATAAACTGAAGGGTGGCTTATCTCTTCGCCGGACAACATATTCAAATTCTGGAAAACAACAAACATCGTAATGTTGGAATTATGTACAATTATAAATATGATATATTTGCGAGCAAAATTGGCTGAAACAAATTAGATTCTCCATTTCCAGGTCTGATTCTACATTCGCTGAAATGTTTCCTTTCTGTTGCTTGTGCATTCTTGAGATTTGCCTCTGGATCAACTGAAATTATTACCACTTGGGAAACCGTTACTTTAGCTTTTGAAACGGGATAGGTGCTTCATTCTTTACATATTGTACGATTCTATAATTTGGTTGACAATTCTCCTCAGTTCCAACCACAAATGGTGCCAGTTATATCTTCGACTAAGGAAAATAAAACAAGCTCCAATTACTGACACTCTGGACAACTCACCTCTACTCCCAGATTATACGCCAGGCGAATAATGGGTTCTTCATTCTGGTCTGTGGTGATATGTGTCATCAATGCAAGGTTCTTCACTAACCCACAGGCCTAAACAACACACATTTCACTCCTATTCAATAATTCACTCAAATCGTTACGAGGTAAATATTTTGGTGGGTGAATTTTTACTAGGCATTTATTATTGCTGACTTTACAACAAAATTATCAGCACTAACACCGTGTTGGTAGATTTATCAAGTTGATAAATCCTACCCACGAAGTCTTGATTACGATTAAACATGGCGGGTAAAAGGTTGTAAGGGTATTTAAGAAGATAAAACAGAGACTGAGCTGTTCCGTGTTATGTATTTGGTATCCCACGCGGGACTCGAACTTTTTCTTAATCCCACACTCGTAACAACGATTGACATCCTTTTTGTTGTTCCATGTATAGTACCCAGTACTCACCTCTCCTTCAGGGGTGTCTGATGGGCACAACATTCCCCACTGAGATGGCTGCAACGAACGGGGACCACTAACTTTACGTGTCTTTTCGAACTGGAAGTGATAGAATAGGACAATAGAAGAGACAAAGCGTCAACCAACAATCCCTGAATTGTTAATCATACTCTCGCTGACATTTCTTAAGCAAAGATCTAAGTCCAAACTGTCCTTTATAATACGCATTCAAGATTAAAAACTTTTCAAGTTTGATAGTGAAAGTCAAACCTCAAAATTCCACGATCCACAAAAAAGTAAAAATCTGTAAGACCTTAGCAGGTATAATCAATATAATGAGAGTTGACTACAAAATTTTCCAATTTTGCCCTGCTATTTATTGTTACATTATTTGAAAATTCTCGTCATTTTTTTTAAGTTCTTAAACCCAAGATCACTTCCATTCTCACCTGACTGCTTATCCTTGTCATCATTCCAAGAGCAGAAATAAATGACAGCCGCGAAAGAACCTGCAAAAGAAACATTTTTTTTTTTTTCATAATTGAATCTACACTCTTAATTAAAATTGATGTTCTACCGCGCGGAAGTCTTGCACACAACCCAAGTGACCCACATTTTTCAAGAACATAGCGGTTCCTGCAGCACCAGGGAGCTAAAGAACGATGGATTATCGTCTTGTCGTGAACGTGGGACAAAGGCAAAATTGCAAATACCCAAGAGAAATCTAATCGAAGATCTTCGAATTCTGCGCTCTGATGCTCTATCGTTGAGAAGCAGAGAATCTATCGTGAGCTCAACAATTACTGGGTTCTCGTATACTGCTAAGATCAAAAATATCGAAAGACTTCTGTAAGTTAATCGAATAAAAATTCACCATCTTTCTTATTCGATTTATTAACAACATTAAGAGGGTTCTACCTCCCCTGGATGAGAAACTGATCCATCACAGGTTGACTCTTCAAGTTTCCCCAAACAATTTATGTGATACCCCTGAGTGAAGAAATGCCCTGTGACAGTTATATGTCTCGCCCAGAAGCATATCTTTTTGTCTCCGTCGACAAGAGTCAAACCCAGTCCTTTTGTCCAAGCGTCCATGCCACTAGATATCCCGCCGCCACCCTCATCCCCCAGTCACTACAGCATCAGACCTACCTGTGTGACCCCCGCACGATTCATGTTAAATCTCTTTATGATCCAGTTACCCTAACAGAAGAAACAGAGCGTTTCTTGAGCTTAAATTCAAGCCCACCCTACAAGACAGAAATTCCCCACTCCATCAGCTGTACAGTATAAGCATACACGGTGGCAAAGTGTACATAAAAAGTAACTTACATAATTCATAGAGATGATGAAGCGCTTCTAAAAGGCTTGTTTCTACTTTATTCTTTTTAACTAAAAGATGCATTTGAATTAATAAGGCATAAAGAAATGAATAATTATAAACAAGATATTGTAAGCATTTATTACCGAGGTGATTGCATGAACCAGACCATGTGTAATTTGATCCTGACGCATGTGCTTCACAATGTCAAACTGTGTACAAACAGCACATTAAAATGAGCTAATCATCCTCATCAAACACCCTCATCAAATTTAATTAAGGCAAAGACGAACGTGGCGACATGTCACAGCCACAGGTGCCAGCGAAAACCTTCTTTATGTGTACATGTTCTGCTTTTACTTTTGTGCGACTTATGTTACGTCCCGTTGGGGTGAATCTTCGTATTGAAAATATCAATAATAAAGTACATGGACAATCGTTTGTTTCACGTTGTAGTCATTTCCGAGGTGGATCGCGACGTTTCAACTGCAGATTCCCAGTCTTCTTTCAGCGAAGCATTACGCTCCACTCTGATTGGTTGTATTCAATGATATGAGGGCTTTCTAACAGCGGACAGCTCAGAGAACAGAGCTTGGAAATGGGCCAATCACTGCCATTGAAAGCCAACCAATCAGGGCTAGGCATAATATTACATACGGTAACGAGTAAATAGTCGACTTCGTTTACTTCCAGCAAATACGTCGACTTCGTTTACTTCCAGCAAATACGTTTGGAAGGTAATGAATTCATTTATACTCTCACCAGCAATATCTACTGAGAACATATCAACATAACAGAGAAAAACTGAACGAAACAGCGGAATACCTGGGCAGCTCTTGGTTTTGGAATTGTTTGGTCTGCAATTTTCTTAAGCTAAAAAAAAAAAAACAAAACAAAACAACCAAAAAAATAAAATGATGAATATTGCAAGCATGAGTACCAAACAAGATTAGGGCATGGGAATACAGGATTTCCGTAGTTCATAAAGTTCCACAAGAAGTGGGAAGACAAATTTGGAGGAAAATACATCTCAAGAGAGGAAATAGACCTTGTAACTTACCTCTGCATTAAATCTCTTGAATAAGTCCTCAAAGAGAAGAGACAGAAGCTGTGAAAAGACAAACAATAACGACAACACAACAGCTTATAACCAAGATACTTTTGTGGGAATACAACGAGAGGGTAAATAAGACCGACAAAATGCTTTAGTTTCTCAAGAAATTCTTACACTGTTGTACAAATAAAAATTAGCATGGGAATAATCAAGGATATCTGTAGACGAGAAGCGAACAGTTTTCCGAATAGTTTTACATACCTGCCCCGCAAGTTCCAGCCTCTTGTTACCATAGTAATCGCGGTCATCTACATGGGCCTAAAAATATGACATACTTAACAAATGGTAAATACCACAGCGTACACTATTGAGTTATGATGCACGCGGGAGGTTGCTAAGCACGAAAGAAGCGTAAGAGTCGCGCGAGGCGATAGCAGAGTGACTCTAGCTTCTTGAGTGCTTAGCTAACCTCCCAAGTGCGTCCGTAATTCAATAGTGTGCACTGTGGCGTTTACCATTTGTCTTATAACATAACATTGATACAGTGTAGCAAAAGAGTTTCTTTTATTTAACAAAAAATTAATCTTACCTGACCACAAAATCAAGCGCGCGCGGAAAACTAGCCTTTGCAGTTGCTCACGTGAGCAGCGTACACCCATGGGCGAATGGTGGACGCTGAATTGACCAATCAGAGTGCGCGCTTTACTTTGGTTATGTTATAAATGGACACGTAAACATTTATACATAAGTTATGTTAACCTAACGATGGGCCAAACTATAATTGTTGACTACAGTCGAACCTCGATTATCCAGACTTCTTCTCTAGTCCCAATTTTGTCATGAATATTTATCAATCATGATCAAGATTCATAACCATATTCTTTTTAAGAAAACCAAGTTGAATTCAGTTGGACCTTTAAGCAGCAAATCTCTTTAAAATAAATGAAGTTTTTCTTCACCTTGCTGTAATTCTTCCCTATAAGAGCCACATTTAAACAGACCATCAGATCCAGTCCACAAATTAATATTACATCACATACCTCGTCACTGCACGCTAGTATGACTCTTCGAACCATCAGAGCTAGGAATACACACTTGGCTTTGAAATCATACTTGATAACCTGAAATAAATCAGACAGAAAATGTCCACGAACAAATATCTGTACAGTTACATGAATAAAATGAGACAGATGGTAAGTTTTGAGCTTGGTAAAGAAATAGGGAAAGATGTTTTTTGTCTTGTCACGAGCATGGGACAAAGAGAAAACTCTGAGTCCCCATGAGGAATCGAATCGCAGACCTTCGGATTCCGCATCCTGATGCTCTTCCACTGAGCCAAAGAGAAGACTCTGTGGTGAGCAAGGCCCATTACAAAGTTGATTTGTGACACGCATCCTGCATACTGCGAAGATCGGCAAGGTCAATAGCGTCATGCTTTGTAAATAAAATGAGAAAGATGGGAAGTTTTGAGCTCGGCAAAGAAATAGAGAAAGATGTTTTTCATATCATCACGAGCATGGAACAAAGAAAAAATTCTGAGTCCCCCATGAATCCCCATTAAACGTAATCATAATCTTACAGGGACATGAGCCAGCATTACTCCTGCTAACAACTCCCTCGCTTCCTCCACTTTAGTTCTGCTCTTCCCCCAAGTTGCACGTTGACGCACTTTGGATCCAACATACTGCAGAGCCTGTTGATGTAATCATATCAAAACATGCTGATTGCTTTATGTCAGTCTTCCCTTACAGTTTTCTGTTGGTACACAGTTGGACTGGTTTTATGTAGGAATGTTGCCTATGCTACAATGAGGTTGAACTAGCGCAAGAGTCTAAAAATGAAAATCCCACCTGGGAAGGGTCATTAACCCTTATCATGTATGTCTCAAGGTAACATTCTAGAGAGGGTGTAGCATACTCACTTCACCACGTCATCCCCAATCCAGAGGTTAACGGTACGTGCCCTAAAAAGCCCTGCAGGGAGGGGTGGGTGGGTGATCGGGGGCTCACAGCAGTTATTACTGAGGACAGCTTATTAAAATCTCTTTGATGACAACAAAATGTTATTATTTTCTCTTCACCCGTCGCTCAGCTTTACTAACCCATGTACAGCATGCTTATAATTACTTTAACACACTTCAAATGTTTTAAATGGAAAGTATCAAATAAAAGTCTTTCAAACACAAATGCAGTTTTGCTAAAATGCTACACATGTATCTTACTTCTTCCATCCAATTACTTATTTTGTAATCTATCTTTTGACAAGTTGATAACATAATGACAACTCAAAATTTTAACTGAAGATGTACACTGTACACGAAGATGTAGATGAAACACATCTCTGCAATAGGTTCCAATGGTATATTTTCAAATCTTTGTAATCATATTACTTTCATTGATAACAGTAGTGTACCTGTAATTGCGTGTAAATATTGAGTCTGTGACACTCCTCAAGAGATGGAGCAAATGTCGAGATCACTTCCTCCTCAGAGCCAACCATTTGAACAATTTCTTGTTCACACTCCATGCCCATGGCTTTGAAGAATACCACTACAGGAACATCCTATGGAATAGAAATCTGTGTTCATAAACAGATTAAATCTGTTTATACATTTTATACATTTTATACATGTAAAAGTAGCTTCCAGCTGTTAAGACTTGTGCAGAATCACACCTGAGTGAGAACTGAAAATTATGATCCCATACCAACTCAGGCCTGTTGGTCAACTTCTCAAACCTTGTAGACAAATCCAAACTGAAAATGTTTTCAAAAAATACATTGCAAGAAAGAAACATAATAGTAAGAGAGAAGAGAAGTATAAATGAAATATCTTAACTTATCTCAAACCTTCAGTTTAGAAAGGGAAATTTATGTGAAGCTTTTTAATTCAAGACACCTTTAGTAATGAGCAAAGCACTTTTGAAAATAAAGAAACTTCTTCAGACAATTTGGACATCTTCAGCAGTATTAAGATTCCACACAAAAAAGCTGGACCACAGAGAATAAAAAGCTTAGGCATGCATCTTTGACTATAAAAAGAAATCAGAGAGTCAACAAACTGAACTATTATATTTTATTTCATGGACATACTGTGTAACATTGGCTCAACATAAAATGCACAAAATAAATAAGGAAACTGACCTCTGACAGAGCGTTATGTTTCAAACAAAACTTGTTCTGCTTGGTCACAATATTTGTTCGACTTTTCCTTTCAGCTGTTGAACTAAGACCAATTATAAACAACTGATTAATTTACATATCTAGAGACTAATACAATGTACCTTATAATATATGCAAAGCAGTAATAAATGGTAGACAGCTGTGAAACACACACCTTGTTACAGAGCATCCAATATTCCCTTTCTTGTCTACTTCAACAATGATGCGATTCTTTGACAACTGTTCTTGAATTAATATGACCTTTTCTGTTCCATTTGCAATAAAGTAACCACCTAAAAATTCAAAATCATTATCATTTGAAAGTTTCTCAAATTGACTCTTCACAAAAAAAAGCTCTTGTATGCAACCACCCTGGGAATTCAAAAAAGTGGTGGCAACTAGAACTGGTCACTTATGAGCATGATACACAGTGCAATACTGAAGAATCATCATGAGAATTTATGTCTACCCATAATTAATGGACATTGAGGGCAGTACAGAATACTCAGTGCAATACAGAGGAATCATCATCAAGATTTATGCCTAAATACTCAACAAAAAGAGCAGTACAGGATACGTGGTACAAGACCAAAGAATCATTATAGAAGATAACATTCCAACCAACCTGGATCAATAGGGCACTCATTCAAGGATGCCAACTCAGCTGGACTTTTGCCGGTCAGTACACAGTTAGAACTGCGAAGCATTATAGGCATTCTGAAATATTCATGAAAACAGACATGTTTTGGCCAAAATTATTTCATATGGCACTCATAAAAAGAAGAGACAATTATGGTAAAATTCCAGAACAAAACCTGATAAATCAAAGTCCATGGAAATCACCTTTACTTTCAGTAAAAAATATTGAATCAGATGGCTAATAGTTTGAAACATTTTTCATAGCTAATCTCTGATTGCCTGGTATTTAACTTTTGACTACCAAGTAATTAACCTGAAACAAATTGCTGATTAGAAGTTAAAGGAAGGGAAATGCTTTTAAAAATACTGCCTAAGCACAGCTTTTTTCCCTCTACTCATGACTGAATTTATTACTGTTGATATCTCAAAAAAAGTCACAATTATTATTGCCACAGTTCACATAGCCATTGCATACGTTACTCAAAATATTAGTTAACATCAGGTAGGACACCTACCTTCCTATTGGCAAGTTATGCCTCACCACACGCTGAAAAACAACATTACAAAAACCACTAGATTAAAAGTTCTTATTTACCTGCATAAAGCAGGGTAGTTTGTCTTACTAAAATAATGTGGATGACAAACTAATTCCACTACTGACAATACAACATGTATCTAAAATCAAATCTCTTGCACATCTACTCCTAATAACAATGCCACCCTACCTGTCCATAGGTACTAAGGTGAATGTGTACAGGTTTGGCTGTAACAACAATTCTTAATTAAAACAAAATAATTTGAATCACACATGTACAAGTGTATTAAGTAAATTTAGTAACAGTTATAGCAACAATTAGAAGAACTGCCCACTACTTTAACTTAGTGGATACATCAAAACAATGCACTTATTATGTTTCCCTATAAAATAAGGAGGCATAATATATAGTTATCTATAAAATAATTATTGAATATTCTTTTGAACAAAATAACATCCTGACCTGACTGCCTCTGGTGTACTCAATGTCAACTGTTATTGGTGCTGAGTAAGTCATATCCCGAAGGCGGCACTAAACAGTAATAATTATTGTAATTACAAGACAGTAAGTTAAGACTTTCTACATCCGTAGTTTGTAATTATGCAGTTCACTCCTATGATAACATGAACTCTTTGTAATTGTTTCCTCGAAAAGTTCTTTGAGCATCTTGACACTCGAGCCTGAATTCTTTGATCCTTGATTCTCGATAGCTTACCGTCTTGGAGTATCCAGGATCAAGTTTTGAGTCAAGACTGTCAATTTACTTTTGAGTAGTACTGTACATGTAATATCTGTCAATTGAAAATGAATATTCAGAACAAAGATTAAATCAAAAGAGACAGATTGAATAAGCTCTCCACAGTTAAAAAGTTTGCTCAAGAGCCTCAAAATAGGTTGAATTTAAATACGACACAGATGTGAGTAGCAGGACCTTCGAATATCAATGATCAGTTAGTTGTTGGAAGGACCTGTGGAAAATTTCTTCCATTCAGTTCCCAGATTATCCAATAAACTTGCCTCGTGAGGTGAGATGGGTTTAGTGATGTTAAAAGATTCCTCCACATCAGGACTGCCCACATATATGTTCAGGTATTTCAGATACCACACTGGATCTGCATCTGTTGTGATCTTCTCATTTGCTTTCACAATCTTCTTTATCTAAAAAAAAATATTTAGGTAATTAATACTTGCATCAAAATACAGGATTGTTAGAATCATGTCTTTCCATCCAACTGATAAACAAATCCCCAGCTCTGACCCAGACAATAACCAATTCATAAAGCCTGATAGTTTCTAAAGAAACTGTTTGGGGCTGCATCGGTGGAGAAACGAAATAATTTGAATATATCAACAAAGTTGAAATGGTAAATTGGCCACCGTTACGATTATAATTACCATTTCAACTTTGTTGATATATTCAAATAAACAATTTATGCTGCACACTAGACAGTCTCTCCTTTGCAAACCTTAAAATTCACAAGAACACGAAGGAATACTGATGCTAGGAGGACTAAGAATTGAACTTACATCCACATTTAAGAAGTAATTAAAGGAATCAATGTGTTGCTTGACAAGTCCCTTCACCTGCAAAATTTAAAATTGATACAAAAAAAACTTGACATAAATATTGAACAGATTTGTTAAATTGCTTTGCGACAAGCAGCCAACATTATTTTGTTCAAATTCCCTGACAATTTATTAGTAATTCCATACCAAAAGTAAATACAGCCACCAATTCAGAGTCTTCATTGGAATTTTTTTTCTTTCTCTCAAAGACATCCTGAACTGTGGGTATCAAATCTTTAGGGACCTTAAGAAACCACGACGGCGACGGCAACGAGGACGTGGAAAAACAAGGGATCTAATTGGCAGAACAATAGCTCAGCACGTGCGTTTTGAAACTTTGTACATTTCTTAGCCATCCTATGCAAAACAACAACGTGAAATCTCCAAAATTTGCATTGTCTGGAACCGAAACCGCGACGGCAAATTATTTTAATTTCCATTTAGAACTCAAATGCTACTTTATATGTCATGCTGAAGTTGAGCTGTGGCGCTGTATGAGACAGTAAGCTCCTGCAACCATTTTTGAAATTCTAACTAAGAGTAGAAATTCATTTTTTTTATTGAAGTCTTCCTTGCCGTCACCGTCGTGGTTTCTTAAGGTCCCTTTTGCCCTTTACAGGGCTCAATACTAACGGTAGCAAACTAGCCAGAGACTAGTAGAAATTCAGTTTTGGCTAATGGTTTCAATTTCCACTAGCCAATTTGGCAAGTAAACAAACTGGAATTCTCATAACATCTAAGATAACACTAGCCACTTGGCTAGTAAGGTGAAAAGTTAGTGCCTAGCCCTGCTTCATATTATCTAGGATCGAAAATAATTTCTTCATAAAATATTTCAGTCTGTGATTTGACTCATGGGATGCTTTACCTTTAAAAATGCTGGTAGTAGTTTCCAATTATCCTACAAAGCAAAAAATGGAAATAAGTTTGTAACATTGTGACAAATTTATCACCAAAAAAAGTGACAAATAAAGACTCCTGTAAAGCTATCATAGGCCAGACACAGAAGCTGAAACTGCTAAATGTCATTTTAGCAGCTCACAAGTCATGACAAATTGTCACAGCACTCTTCAAATGAGGCAGGTAAGCTGTAGGTATTTACCCCCCTCCCAAGACACAGTTATAATTATCCACAGACCACACTGGCTTCCTCTTTAAGTAAACAGAAATATAACATGCTAATCAGAACACTGTTTCAATAATAAAGAACTCTGCACATGTAACTAGTGCACATCAGCAGTCCCACAGCTACATTCTGGTTCATTTCAAAGTCACTGAGCCTCAAAGTTCTTGCATTACTGAAAGATGGGTATCTGTGACGAAGAGCTCCTCAATAGAAACTCAATTGGCAGACAGATAACCAACAAGTCACCAACAGGCTAACCACAGATTACCAATATTGGTAATAATTATACTCAAGAATAAAAGGAAAAAACAAAACTTTGACTCTACTTTAAGTATACTATACATTCTACTTGAATTGTCGGCTTACAGTTGGCTTACAGTTGGCTTACTGTTGGCCAGCCATTTGTCACTTCACTGTTGGTAGTCTGCCAGCCAACTATTGACTGACAGTCAGCCCTCCATCCACTGACTATTGGCCAAATGGTTTTTTCAGGAAGTCGTTGTTCACAATTACCAACAGATGTACATAATAAATCAAATCAAAGGCACCTCAACTGTCTTGATTGGCTTGGAAACATCTTCCAAGTTTTCTGTTATATTTCCCAATGTTTCAAATTCCATTGCTATCATTTAACTGTCACAGTGCTATCATCAGCAGGGCAAATCTCCTCCATAAACATCTTCTGGCATCACACAAGAGGCAGACTTGGAAATAACATGCAAACTAAAAATTAATAAATTAATGCCAGGACCCACAAAATTAATGTATCCGTCCCTATGCACATTTACACCATGGTTTATATTTTCCCATGTTTAAAATAATTTTCAAATACAGTTTTAATAATAACTTCAGTTGCTTTAAAGAATGATAAATAAAAGTCACACTGGTTTTAAAACATTCTGATAAGGGAAAAATTGGAACCACATGAATGTGCTGGTGGATTTAGCATGAACCCCATTCAAGCTATACCACCACGTAACCAACAAATCATTGCGAGCGTGTGTCTTCTGTTCTATAACCTATTATAAAAAGTTTCATCTTTTCGTGGCCGTAGACAGCTAGAAGTACCCAGTGTCAAAGCAGATAACTTTATTCACCTGCAGTTGTACTTGGGTTGTCTATTCAATCTGACATTAACCCATGTATCAATGACGAGCACTAGTTAGTTAGGAGCTACATGTAACTTTATCAGCGAGCTTCGAACTAAGGCAGGAGGCTGCAATTAACTGTGAGCTTTAAATTCTTATAAATTCCTCAGCAATATATCGCAACATTCGCAAGCACAAGTCTACTATGCGTATTCTTGCGCCCTTGCATCGCAGCACGTGTGTTTATAAAACCCTCACCTGACTTCAACCGTGCCGCCATCTTAATCCTCACAAGTTCCCAGGACTAAGGGTGACTTATGCCTGAGGGGAAACCGGGAACAAACGAATATCCTCCCCAGGGTCTTCTCTTCCTCCCTCACGTCCTTCCCTCCTTCCCTGAAGGAAGTGAAGGACGTCAAATTGACAGGAAAGCAAAGCAGAGGATACGCCTATTGAAAATTTGATTTAATTCTTTTGTAAAGAATCTCGCAAATTTTGGACGAGTTAACCGTCTCTATAAGGATCTCCATCCTCAGACAAAGCAAATTTGTTCGATTCCACGTTGATGTTTTGCAGTAGACGGCTGCAAATGCACAACGTTTTCAGAGTCTGTCCACTAAAGGACCAGGCAAGCGGAATACATTCCCTTCCACCGATTTCTTTAAAAATTAAACAAATTGTTAGACTCTAAAAGTTATTCGGAATCCAAAGTATTTTGGGCTTCCGCTTAATCCCCGGGGCACGAAAGTTTTTATCCCAGGGATAGAAGCCCAAAGTCTGTTTGAAAATTGCACTCTGATAAATATCTCTCAATTTTAGGATGTGATGGTAATTTGAAACAATTCTTGAAAAATTAGAGCTACTAGTGCATCTAAAGATTTGCGAAAAGGGTAAACGTTTCTAAAGAAACTGTGGTGCTGCGTCGGTGGGGGTAACAAAGTAATTTGGTCAGTTAAGAAGCTGACGTTTCGAGCGTTAGCCCTTCCCGTCAGAGCGAATGATCGAAGGGCTAACGCTCGAAACGTCAGCTTTTTATTTCTTTACGATGGCCAATTTACAATTTCAACTCAGTTGATATAACCAAATTAAAGAATTACGCGACAATTTGTGAGACAAAACGTAAATGGAATTTAAACAGTTCTTCTCTGAGATTGTCACGTTGTTAGAAGCAACAAGGCGCTCAGATTCGTAGAAGTCGGCTTAACGTTGGAAAGATTGGAGAATATTGAAATGTTATTTGTGGTTAATGTGATGCGGTGGTGCTCGTAATGAATTGTATATGTTGTGATGGATTGTGTATGTTCGTTCGTGGTTATGGTAAAGCTCTCATTTTGAGAACGTACTTGTCGTTGTTTTTGAACGCGACCGAATGAAATTTTTAATCTCATGCAATGTCAAATACGTAATTTTGTTAATACTGCGTCCAAATGAATCCTGGGATTGGCCAACCCTGTACCAGGTTCCCCAAGGGGCATTTTGTTTCGCGCGGCCTCGATTTTTGCTATTGTGTGAGATGGAGAGCCAAAAAAGCCTCGAAAATTCTTTGTAAATTGTATGTTTTCAACTCAGTATTAGTAAAGTCGCGTATTATTTTTCCGCTAAAAGCAAATCTAGTAAATAGGAGATACTTGGTTGAAAGGGTGATACATTCATAAGTAGTAAACTTATTAACACAGACGATATAACAGCTGCGAACTAAGTTTATTTTGAACCCAAAACAACTTATTTAAAGTAGTTACTACTTTATAAAAAAAATATCTTGCAATCTACTGTAGCCAATTGTCAGCCATTGATCGATGGCGACAAACACGCTGAAGCAAAGCGGTTTAAATCCGTCGTCAGATACACCAAAATAGCAGCGTAGCAAATCAACCCCTTTTATCACCCTGGATAATGGGTTTTGCAATGGAGCGGGAGTAGGCTTGGCGGCAGCAGCCTTTCTGTTCAACCACACCTGGTCGGCAACACTCTTGGAAGCTTGGATCGTACAGTAAAGTTCCACAACAACCCTGGGAAATAAGATAAAAGAAAACAATTTCTGGTTTAAATGACTCTCCCAGAGCAACAAACCCTTGACTGTATGATATAAAACCTTGAAGGAAAAGTAACCAAATCAACAAGCAATTCAACAAAATCAAATAGTCACCTGAGTCTTTGGGTTATACAGACTGTTTCCACAACAAAGTGCAGATGTTGTATGCCATGGCTTGTGTAGGATTCTTCCAGAGCAACAAACCTGCGGGCATTATGAGTGTATTAAGACACCATGTTGCAGTAAAAGCAGCCGAATCAACATGCAACATGCAACATGCAACATGCGACAAAATGAAACTGATACTTACTTGATACCTTGGGTTGTACGGACGAGTTCCACAGCAATGTGGATCTGACGCACCCGATAGGTTAGGAACGATTTTCCCGAAGCAGCAAGCCTACATGTGTATGATAGACAAGAGGTTAAATCCAAGTCCCATGAAAAATTCTAAAACTCAACAATACAACTTATTTTCACAGGTGAAGAGGCTATTGGTTTCAATTAATAGGATGAGCACATAGGACATTTAGACCTTAAAATTCTCCTGAGTTACCACTACATAAAGACTCTTCCTTTGAAAGGAGTAAAGAACTGACAGCGCACAATTATTTCTTTCAGAGACTATGGAAAAGCATAATTTTATAATTTCGATCTGACTGGTTGAGAGCGAAAAACAGAGTTTCCTTGACCAATCATAAACATAGTCATATTCAGAACCAGAACACTCTCGAATTATTTTTGGCTTTGAAAGAAGATGCATATTTTTCGTAGATAGAAAATATGTTGTGGAGTCACCTCTTTGTATGGGTTATACGATGCCGCACCACAACACCGTGCATACGGTACTGGCCTGCTTATGATTGTTCCAACGCAGCAAAGCTGATAGGTGGAGAAGAGCAATGTGCTGCCACAACAGCTCGTCGGTCCGCAGTATCTTGGTTTATTATAAACAGTTTCCCCACAGCACGTCTATAATTCAATCATAAAAACAAAACAAAAAATCAGTTCCCATTTATATATCGCCACCTGAACCAAAGATTCTCCCAGGGCAACAAGCCTATAAGTGTATGATTAAAAAAATTAATGTTGAAGGAAAAGTGACCGAATTTATAGGAAGTTCAAAAAAAATTGCATACTCACTTGTATCTTTGGGTTGTACGGACGTGTCACACAGCAACTTGGATGTGTTAAACCCGTAGGGTTAGGGACGCACTTCCCGGCGCAGCAAGCCTATATGTGTACGATAGTCAAGTTAAATGCAAGATCCAAGGAGGATAGGAACAACTAATTATGTTACCCATTTTTACAGGCTAATAAACTGATTGAAAAATTGGTTTCAATTTACAATTTTCACAACTACTCGTCGGCCTGCAGCCTGTTGGCTTATCATAAACATTTCCCCGACAGCATATATCCCTAATTCGATTTAAAAAAATCAATTCCCGTCGATTTATCCCTACCTGAACCGAAGTAGCCCATAGAGCGGTTAAAATGTTTGTAAAGATATTTGTAGACATTGTTTAAAGTAATTGATATACACCTGTTTAGTTCTGTCATAAACAGTCTGTGCCCATCTGATTCCACAGCAACCTTGACTTACAGGGTTGTAACTTTTCCGCCTGTAGTACCGAAAAAAATTTTCCTTAGTGGTTAACGTTAAGTTACATTTATAAACTAAGACTAACAAGTGATTAAACTGACCGAGAAGCTTGCATAATTTAGCGCCTAATTTCCTCGAAATTCAACCAGAACCGAAAAATAGGAAGTAGCCTTGATTCATAATAGCTGATGAGAAAATCATTCAAAGTAAAAACCTAAATAAACAGTTTCCATCTACAAGTGAGAGGATAATCTTTGAATAATAGATCCTAGTGGCCCTGAAAATGCATACCTACCCGCAACACCTAGCATGAACTCCACCGAAGAATCTTTGCTGAAGTGTAAGATTACAACAGAGGTGCGTTTTGGTGTTGTATGCAATTCTTCCACAGCAAGCATTGTTAAACCCCCTCCGTGTTAGGACGCCTAAACAGCACAAGTGTGACCTTGGGTCGTATCTTCTCTTACCACAAAATGGTAGATATATTGCCAACCGGTTCGCAGTCACATTGCGAAGAAGTTGGTTGTCGGTCACATTACGAAGAAGTTGGTTCTCAGTCACATTACGAAGAAGTGGGTTCTCGGTCGCATTGAATTGACAATGGCTCTCTGAAACTGTGGGAATCAAGAAATAATGCTTATTGACTTCATAATGTGATAAGTAAGGAGCAGACTCAAAATCTGAAGAAGGTTTTAAATCAATAATAATCTTAGTAATATTAGTAAAACAATGACTTTCATTTCTATTATGATCTGAGTTTATATGAGTTTAAGATCAGTATGTAATATCTGAATCATTCTTTTCTTTCCTATGGCGATCAATCAAGTTCCTTAGGATGGAAAAATATTTCATTGATCATGGAAAGTGCTTCGGGAAATCATCGGTTTTGTTTCCATCGCTTTGTGGCTTTTTTACTTACCCATGGCCAAAAGAACAAAAGCGATGATTCCTAACAGACATTTTAACTGTGCCATGGTGGGTCTCGGTTGAGCTAGCACAGAAAGATAAGCTACAAAATTGTACCTGTGGAAAGTGAACAAATGCATGATCATTTATAAGTACATATTACGTTTACATAAGATTAATGAGCTCTTCGTGCGTCACTGAGGAGTAGTTGAAACAAATTTTAAAGTAAAAACTATCGCTCTTTAAACTGACGTTACATTGCTACCCTCAATGTAAGGTAACGCCAAGTATCTTTGTCTCTTAATTTTTTTTACTTTTTTAGTGTCTTTTGTCTAGAGGTAGGACGCTATCTAAAGATCTGATTAACAGTGTTCGAACTAGTCATGATTAAAATAAAATAACTTCCACTTGACCTGCAGATGAAATATAAAGTTAAACAATGAAGCTCGCGGGTGAGTTGCTATTCAAGTAATGGCCGGCAAGAAGCTTAAAAAAAAACATCAGGCTTCACCGGGATTCAAACTCGTCTCTTCCAGATACTAGTTGTGCACTTCAGCCCACTCAGCTACGAAGCCTCACCTTTGGAACTAGGCAAATTTTTTATGGTGTTCATCTTCCCTGTAGAGTATTTCTCCCAAAGTTAGCGGGGCTTCATCTATACGCTTACCTTTCAAGTTCAGGAGTTCGTTTATTCTTTAGACGAGCATTTGTGACAAAGATGAATTACTTACTTACCTTCGCTATATGACGAGCTGCTGATAGTTTACCTCTTCAACTCCGACTGATCAGGGCCTCTATCCGCACGCCTTTTAAGTCGTTACTCGAATTCGAACCCGGAACTTGATAGACAATTAAACATTGTGTGGTTTGAATGCTAGATGTTGCTAGTAATACCAATAAATAATCAAAACAGGAAAAATTTTTGCTTAAAATAGCTGCTAATAAGAGTGTTAAACTTGCCTTTTGTTGGACGATAGTTCATCTTGCCCTTTCTCTAGGCTACGTAGATCGACACCAGGCAACCTTGAAGTTTGTGGTCATAAGAAGCAACGGTGTTTTTTTCCTTTTTGCGTTACCATGTGTGTTGACCCCAAACGTATGATTTTTCCGGTTTTCATCTACAGTCGAATCAAGATAAACCAAACCTTCAAGGAAAGTTGAGAAGGGTTCGAGTTTTGAGGAGTTCGAGCCATCGGGAGTTGAAAACAAAGAACCGGAAATATGGCAAAAGCGGTGTTTGCTGTTTTTCTATTCATTAAGTGTACATTTTTATCACTGAAATTTAATAGTGATAGAAAATTCGACAGAAATGAGGCTAAATTACTGCAGAAATCACAATGTAACGTAAATCTTTCATTAAGAACCTTTATCTCACAAACGTTTGTTTCTGACTCGTTAGCACTTTCATGAACCAAAAGAAATAGAGATCTATCCGATTTGAGTTTCGTGCCCAAGTTATTGTTTTCAGTCGCCGTTGTTGAATTTTGCGTTTTCAAGCTGAACTATCGTATAATAAAACTAATTAGTTCTCTAATTTTGTCCTCACAAATGAAATGCCTTTAAAAACCATCCAAAAACGATAAATAGTATGAATTTCAACGAGTTGTGATGAACTTTGACAAGCCTGCAGGGAGATCAAAATGCAAGCCGACGAGTAAAAATACTCAGCGATACCGCACACTAAAAAGTCTTTTTTAGTTGTTTATTATCCAAGGGCTTTATTCTATATTACTTTCTTATAGGACGAGAAAAGCAGGGCTGAGACAACTCACGCAAGCGGAACGAACCTCTTAAACAGGTTTTTTACCGTAACGAATTAACCAGCTGTCAAATAATCCTTACAATATTGCGGGATATTTGTACTCTACTGTTTAGTGCAGTTAGGAGATAAATGGACCTCACTTCTGTCACAACCAATCAAAAAACAAAAAACAAAAAACAAAATATATATATATATATATATATGAGGTCATGTGCAGATATATATATATATATGCACATCACCTCATCCTAAATGTCCCAAAGGTTGGCTTTTAGTCGGAAAATTTTCTACGTATAACACATATATCCTTATAGTCAAGTGTCTAGAGGAAAACGTGTCTAGAATAAACAATTTCCTCGTTGCTAACGCCATGATAATAGGGCTATTTGTAGTATTTAAATGATAGAACTTGAACCTGAGGTATACTCCAGAACTGAACTCAAAAGCTAAAATTCCATTTTTATCACGGCGAGAGGCCAAGATAAAGAATCGCTCGACCAGAACTGGTTTCTGTAAACAGTTTGAAAACTAATGTACTGTAAGAATAAAACGAAGGAATGAGTTAAAGAAATATTCAACAACAAAACTTTGCGAAAATACATTTTTAAAAAACCTTATAAGAATCAAAAAAAGCTGGAAAAGTCAACGACGTTTGAATGTTTGAAACGTCATTACATAGTCAAAAAATGATAACAATAAGGAGTCATATAATTATAAACACCGAGAGGAACGAAGTGGAGAAACGCGCAAAAACTAATAAACAACCAAAAACTAAATGACAAACTAAAAAAAACCGTTTCGCACGTATGGAGTCCGTTTGGATATTAAAATTAGGTTTGAATTACTTGATGAAAAACTTTTCAAGCGTCAGGCCTTCTCATGTCAAACCAATCGGAACTAAGGGGTAACCAAGAGTCCACGTTCCGATACTATTGTGGGACAAACATTTTTCCTGTTTTAAGTTTTCTGGAAACTGTCTAACACGCCATTTACACCAAAGCTTAAATATGTTTATAGCTTTTTTTTTAGCACGGTCTAAATTTATTCTCTTGGGAAAAGCTGCTTAAACCGATGTTTATCGACTTCAAACTAAGAGCGTGTCCACGTGAAAACAGGGTAGAGCCGAGCAGGGGCGATAATACTGAAATCACAAATTTGATTCAAACTTGGCACAAATATTAAGTATCGTGAGTTAACAATTATGTGAAAATAATAGGTCAAATTACTTAATTCCCTGGGAGGTATAAGGTCCCCCTGAGAGTCCCCGTTTCCTGCATTTTTTGCATAGTCAATCAGCTAACTTTGCATTGCTGCTGTGACAAACCGAAAAGCCATCCGAAAATTTAATCAACTAGGTTGTGTTCTATATCTATCAGATTCCAAGAATATTGATCTTTTTAAACTTTTCCATTTTATTCCTTCCCTAGCCTCTCATTAGATAAAGACAACTTAAAAGAAAGGTATTTTAAGGCCCTATATCTCCGATGACCAACCACTTCTGATCATAATTCTTACATGGACAGTGAAAGTTATCACTGGACTTACAAAATCAGGAATAAAATTTTGGGGCAACTGAATTGATTACCTGTGCTGACGTGAAATTTACATCTAACCAACCGCCTTAGCTCTGTATCATCAAAATTACGTAGTCAACTTCTTTGTTCATTTGCTCTGACATCAATTACATGAAATCTACAGCAAATTTCAGAGAGAACATTATCTAGACCTAAAAGGGGAAAGTATCTTTGAAAAGTGTAAATCTTGCTATTTTCGGGGACTTTCTCTATGGCCATGTCTGTATTCATCTTAGGTAAACCAAGTGGACGAGGAACTTCAAATGTTCACGTAAAAATGCTCCAACGCTTCGATGGAAAAGGATCCAAAACGTAAATACAAGCTAAACACATGTCACGAGGGTAGCTCGGTTGATACTTCAGGCTCAATTGCATTTAATTCAGTCATCAACCTGCTAGGTCTGTGATCTGTTTTGTTCGATCGTTGAATTGCTCATTAAAAGGAATTTAAAAGATCCATTGTCCTTGTCCTCTACGAAAAAAGAAAATATGAGAACTAGTTTACCACGGAATCCAATGATCATTAAGCAACTTTCCAGTAACGAATGTGTTTGGAAATCAGAAATTAAATATTTGCTTTCTCCGTTTACATGATCAACGCTCCGCCGACAGAGCTGAATAACGTATACGCCGCATGCGTTAGGTTTTGCCGCGGAAACACAGATTTTGAATCGTTCGTATGGTTGATTTCCTATTCTGTTGCTTCGAGGCGTGGTTTTCTTTGCCGCTTTTCTTTTACAGAACAACCTTCAAAAACTTGGTAAACCTTCAAAAACTTGGTAAACCTTCAAAAACTTGGTAAACCCTCTAAAATCTTTCAAAAATTAATTTTTACGTCAGCACGGGTAATCAAATTAGTTGTCCCAAAATTTTATTACTGATTTTGGAAGTCCAATGATGGCTTTCACTGTTCATGTAAGAATTAGGATCAGAAGTGGTTGGTCATCGGAGATATTAGGCCTTCAAATACCCTTCTTTTTGGACTTTGTCAAAACCAGAAAAAAGTCGTCTTTACTTAAGGGAGAGGTAAGGGAAGGAATGAAATGAAAAAGTTTAAAAAGATCAATATTCTTGGATTCTGATAGATATAGAACACAACCCAGTTGTTTGAATTTGCAGATGAGTTTTTGGTTTGTCACAGTTGCAATGCAAAGTTAGCTAATTATCTATGCAAAAAATGCAGGAAACGAGGGATTATCCAAGGGGGACCGTATACCTCCCAGGGAATCAAATTATTTGACTTATTATTTTCACATATTTGTTAACTCATTAGACTTAGTATTTGTGCCAAGTTTGAACTAAATCGGTGATTTCAGCATTATCGCTCCCTGCCCGGTTTTCTGGAGGACACACTCTTAATTATTTATACTAGAGTTCATATACATAAACAAGTAAAAATAAAAACAGACTATTACAATACTTTATTGTCATTCTCAGAACGTACAAAAAACAATCCCCATCTATGAAACAACTCGATTCGATGATAGGGAAGGTAAGAATGACATGCTTTCTTTACATTTTGCATAGAACAAGCACGTACGCATGTCGTGAACGATCGCGATCAGCGTTGCTTGCAAACCGAATGCCTCTTCCACTCTGTAACTCGTTAGTTGCACGGATCAAGAGGCCATTGTTTGGGACTCCACACTGCCATTGTCTGATTGCGTGCGTGATGTCGAACTCCACGAAACCACGAGGACGATATGGAAAGATAACGACTGATGAGCCCTGGGGAGCCGCCTCTGCGTCAGTGTTATCCAAACCAAGATATTGTTTCGACCAATAGGCATATGATGAGCGCTTGGTGCTGGTAGCTTGAGATTCGTTCCAGGATTTTTCCACTAAATGAACCTGCATGTAACGGGGAATGAAAGGGGTTTTGGTGATGGGATGCCAGCTGGCTTTGTGTGCGTAGACATAATACAGGTACATCTTTGCAGATACAATACCCGGGCAGGACCTGGGTAGGTTTTCAAACTTTACAAGCGATCGTTTGTTGGGGAAATCAGGATGCCGAGAAACGAGAAGGAACGGCAAACTGTTGAAGTTTCTGTTTGGACGTTCAAGCGTGACATCTTGTACCACTGATAGCTTGTAAACGAGGCCCCTGCCGGTATCGTAACGTGTTACACCTTGCGTGACATGAGCCAACAACGCCACCATAAACAAGGTTATCATCAACATAATGCTGTGAAACAAATCGTGAAATTTAACCTTAGTAAAAAGGCTTATTGAGTACATGCTTTCCACTTTCTCAGTGTCTTGCGGCATATGAGCAGAAAATTGTAAATAACTTTCATGCTCCCCAACTGATCTGACTCGTCTGTGAATTTGTATTATTGAGGCAACAGGAAATGGAAGAGGTGAGAGGGACTAAGCATAGGGAGGGGTGGGTAAAAGGAAGAAACCAAATATAACTTGAGGAGGGAGGGGTAAAGGGAAGAAGACAAATACATTTTAAGTGGTGTTTACAAGAATAAGGTCCCAAGACCAAAGAAGAAAACCTTGGTTTAGAAATAGATGAGCCCGTAAGCAAGGGTCTTTTAGGTGATTAGAAATGGCAAGGGTGAGATATCAAAGTTTGGTTTTGTTTCTACGTTTTATCCCTTAACAGTTTGCGGTTGCAATCATCTTATGGTAGTTCGGAAAAAAGCGAGTTAATTAAGAGAAAGACTGAAAGACCTGGACTGAAACAGACAGTTTAAAAAAATTGCCTATCAATAGATTTGATATAAAGTTGCAAGCCCGGGCCAACACTATTAAGTTTCCGCCAACTTTTTGACAGCAGACTGAACTGACCACCTTCCTTGTTCCGATTTTATTCCAAAGGAAGATTGATAAACTCTTTGTGCGTCACTGAGGAGTTTTTAAAACAAATTTTAAAAGTGAAAACTATCGATCTTTAAACTGAAGTTACATTGCTACGCTCAATGTAAGGTAACACCAACTATCTTTTACTCTTAAATGCTTTGATTTTTTAGTGTCTCTTGTCTTGAAGTAGGACGCTATCTAAAGATCTACTTAAAAGTGTTAAAACGAATCTCGATTAAAGCATAATAACTTTCATTTGACCTGCAGATGAAACTAGAGTTAAAAATCAAGCTCGCGGGTGAGTTGCATTAAAAACAATGGTCGGTAAGAAGCTTTAGAAGAAAAATCAGACTTCAACGGGATTCAAACTCGTCCCTCCCAGATGTTAGCTGAGCCCTTCAGCCCATTCAGCTACGAAGCTTCGCCTTTGGAACGAGGCAAATTTTTGAAGAGGTTTATCTTCCCGTAGAGTATTTCTCCCAAAGTTAGGCGGGCTTGATCTAAACGCTTACCTTTCAAGGTAAGGAGTTCGTTTACTCTTTAGACGAGCATTTGTGACAAAGATGAATTACTTACTTACCTTGAATTGGTTATATTAAGAGCTCTTGACAGTTTACCTTTTCAACTCCGACTGATTGGGGCCTCTATCCGTACCCCTTTTAAGTCATACTTGAATTCGAACCCGGAACTTGATGTTGCCAGTGATACCAATGAACAATCATAACAGGAAAAACGCTTTACTTAAAATAGCTGCTAATAAGAGGGTTAAACTTGCCTTTTGTTGGACGATTGTTCATCTTGCTCGTTATCAAAGCTACATAGATCGACACCAAGCAACCTTGAAGTTTGTGGTCATTAAGAAGCAACGGTGTTTTTTTGCGTTACCATGTGTATTGAGCCCAAACTTTTGGATTTTCCGGTTGTCATCTACACTCGAATCAAGATGAATCAACGTTCATGGAAAATTTAAAAAGGTTCGAGTTTTGGGTTCGAGCCATCGGGAGTTGAAAACAAAGAGCCGGAAATATGGCAAAAACGGTGTTTGCTGTTTTTCTTTTCATAAAGCGTACATTTTTATCACTGAAATTTAACACTCATTGTCAAGTCGACATAAATGGAAAACTAAATTACAGCAGAAATCACAACGTAAAGCAAATTTTTCATCAAGAACCTTTATCTGACAAGCGTTTGTTTCTGACTCGTTAGCAATTTCCTGAATCAAAAGAAATAAAGATACATCCGATTTGAGTTCCTGCCCACCAAAAATTAACAGAAAATGAAAGAATTATCATAGCTCAAGGTTGAACCTTAAATGAATGCATGAACAAAATACTATCAATGCGGTCATCCACAGATTTATTTTGTTTTTTCGATGTCACAGGGTTCAGGTGACGTTCAATTCTTATTGTTTTCAGTCACCGTTGTTGAATTTTGTGTGTTATCAAGTCAAAATATCGTATAACAAATTCTATTACATTCATTTTGAAATCACTGCTGGTGCCTGTAATCTGAATGGCTCTGATTGGTGCGATTTATTCCCAAATCGCACCATTTTTTGCTCTAAATCGCATCATTGTACACTTTACTGAGTTTTTGACACATGACGTCAAAGTCTTTCTGTTTTGCATACAAAATAAGATGTAAAAACGTTTCTGGTTCCGCTTTTTATTTTAAAAACCGGCTCAGTCTGCATCAGTAAAATATTTGAATTGACCAAGTCCTGTATTTGGGTTATTTCAAAATGGATGTAATAAAGTGGTAATTGAACCTCGTGTCGTGCAATTTTGGTCTGAAATCATACTTATGATTTCAAATCAAACTCGCCCTGCGCGCTCGTTCGATTTTGAAATCACAAGTGATTTCAGCCCAAATTGCACTCCACTCAGTTCAATTACCATTATTAATCAATTCTCTAATTTTGCCACTCATCACAAATAAAATTATTTCGATTCCACTCAAAGGCAATAAATAGTATGAATTTCAACGAGTTGTGGTGTAGTTTTGACGAGCCTGCAGGGAGAGTCAGAATACAAGCAATGAATAAAACTACTCAGCGATACCACACGATATCTCACATTTTATCATCCAACAGCTTTATTTTCGCTAGTTATTCTATATAATGAAGTTCTTTCCTTATAAGACGAGAAAAGCGTAGCTGAAACAACTCACGCAACGGAACGAATCTGTCAGACAGGTTTTTACCGTAATAAATAACCAACTGCCAAGTAACCCTTACAATATTATATTTAGCGCAGTTAGAAGATAATTGGACCTCACTTCCGTTGCAACCAAGCAAAAAAAAAATGTATATAGATCTGCGTCTGCACATCACCTCTTCTTTAAATGTCTCATGTGTTGGCTTTAAGTTGGAGAATTTTCTGCATAACACACATATGCATAATATCATGAAAGTCAAGTTTCCAAAGTGTCTGGAATAAAACGTACCCAGAATAAACAATTCCCTTGTTGCTAACGCCACTATAAGATAAATAATAAGAAAAATAATACAGGGTTTATTCCAGCACCGAGCAGGAAAGCTAAAATTCCAGTTTTATCACGGCGAGAGCAAGATCAAGAATCGCTCGACCAGAACTGGTTTCTGTGAACAGTTTGAAAAATAACGTTTTGAAAGAATGACACGAAGGAATGACAAAGAAATATTTAACTTCAAAATTATACGAAAATGCATATTTTAAAAAATCCTATAAAAAGCGAAAGAAGCTGGAAAATTCGAAGACGTTTCGATATTCTTGAAACGTCATTACATAGTCAAAATATGATAAAAATTAGGAGTCATAAAATACCAAGAGGAACAAAGGTGATAAACGCAGAAAAACTAACAAACAAACAAAAATTAAACGATAAGCTGAAAAAAAAGGTTTCGCACATATGGAGTCCGTTTGGATATTAAATTTAGGTTTGAATTACTTGATGAAAGACTTTTCAAGCATCAGGCCTTCTCATGTCAAACCAACCGGAACTAAGGGGTCACCAAGAGTCCACGTTCCGATACTATTGTGGGACAAACATTTTTCCTGCTTTAAGTTTTCTAGAAACTGTATAACACGCCATTTACACCAAAGCTTAAATATGTTTTATTGCTGTTTTTTTTTGTTTTTTTTTTTTTTAATACGGTCTAAATTTGTTTTCTTCGGAAAAGCTGCTTATTTAAACGATGTTTATCGACTTCAAACTTAATTAACACTTTATAAATACAAGTTAATGCCTTCTTCCACCCTTTGGAAAACTCAGTTTTTAAGTTCTCTGTTTCTAAACTTCATACAGTTAAACCAGGTTTGATGTGATGTTTTGTTGGTGTGAATGAGGAATAAGATAAAACGAAACAAAAGCTCGCTGACCAGCCCGTAACGCAGGTACCTTTTTCAAAGATGGCGATCGTTCATTGAGCCGAAATGTTCGATTTAAACAAATTTCTGAGAAATTTTTTTCTTTAACCAACCTTCCTCTACTTTAAAAATCGAAGGCGATTGCCAAATTTTCGCTAGAAATTAATTTGTGAATGCTCATATCCGTGAAGGCTAATGAGTAATTATTGATGGAAATGTCTTAGACTCGCCGTATTGGGTTTCTCCAGACATATTGAGAATCCTTGAGTTGTCGAATAACACCAAACCGTATGATTTTGTTTTATCAACTGAGTTGATAATGTAAGTTTGCAATCGAAGAGTGTCTCTAAAGCCGCTGACGTTTCGACCACTAGCCCGCCTTCATCGGAGGCCAACGCGCGAAACGTCAGCTTTAGAGGTAGTCTCACCTCATTTGAAAGTCTTCAAACCTGCTCTGAATCCCCTAACGTATAAAAGAGGCCGTATCACTAAATGCCTCTGAATCCAATTTAACAATACGCTCCTTTATTAAAAAACCCGAAGGTTGTTGTTCATCTTACCCTATGGACAACATATGGTTATAGCCACTAAGAAATTTTTACGAAAACTTTCAACCAGCGCGCTAAAGCAACTTTAATTAAATAACTTTTCGCTGAGCTCACGACATAAGGATCTTCTTCTGCTTAATTGTTTTTTACGTCACGATCTCTAGCTGAATGTTATTATTTCCCCGTTCGGCCCAGTCCAGCTCTCTGTCAATAAGAATACACTAGATGTATATCAAGCCCCGAAACAGTGAAGAAAATTTATCAGAATTAGGCCAAAAATATTTCGTTCGACGTAGGAGAAGGCATTCTAATNAAAAACAAGAACTTAAGTGCCCATCAGATGAGTAACCTAGCTTCTAGATAGAAAAATTTCCTTTGAAATGCGTTCTTACCCACAGCATCTGGCTTGAGTACTGCCATAGAATTTTGGTTGGATGGTTCCTGAACAACAGAGCCGTGTTTCAGTGTCATAGGGCGTCTTTCCACAGCAAGCATTTTGAGAGTGTATTTTGGATTTTACGACGCCTAAACAACAGAGCTGTGTTCCAGTGTCGTAGGGCGTCTTTCCACAGCAAGCATTTTGAGAGTGTATTTTGGATTTTACGACGCCTAAACAACAGAGCTGTGTTCCAGTAATGTAGAAAGTCTTCCCGCAGCAAGAGTATCGAGGACCACTTACCGGTTGAATGGCGCCTAAACAGCACAGCTGTGAACTTGGATGATAACTTACTCCGCCACAGCAGTTATTGTCCTTGTACGGATCACAAAGTGGTTTTATCAAAACCTCATTATCAGGATGATCAACAGGGACTTGGCAGAAGACCTCTAGGGCTAAGGAAATAAAGAAATAATGCTTATCGACTTCAAGAACGTGAGGCAAGGAGCTCATTTAAAATTTGACTTTTGATGGAGATAGTTTCATTTTACATAACCATGGTATCAATAATAGTCTGAGCAATAATCAGTATGATGTGATGATAATGATGAAGATGATGATGGAACAAATTTGGACTTTCATTACTAATGTAATCTGAAACGATATGGCTGTATGATTAGAGTGTAATATGCATTTTTTTTCTTAATATAATGATCAACGTTCCTTTCCTAACAATAAATAAACTCTAACCGCCTCCCGGTTAGCTCAATTGGTAGAGCGCCGGACTGTTGTGCGGGAGGTCGTGAGTTCAAATCCGGCCGGACCAACACTCAGGGTCTTTGATTAACTGAGAAGAAAGTGCTGCCTTTGTAATAATATCTGCAAATGGTTAGACTTTCTAGTCTTCTCGGATAGGGACGATAAATGGAGGTCCCGTCTCCTGCAGGGTTGGGGTAGGAGACGTTAATTTCCCACACACGAGATTACTGTGTGATGGATGTCGTCCCCGGGGTGAGATGGATGGGTAAAAAAGGGGTTAGGTGTCAATTGGAACGAAAGTTCTGTTCCTTTCTCCTGCCATTCCTGTGGTGAATGAATTAAACTTAAACTTAATTCTCAATTGTTTATGAAAAAGGATTCGGGATATCATCGGTTTCGTTTTAGTCGCTCTTTCATTTTTTTAAAAATCTCGCACCACCTCCTTAAACAACAAGGCAGAAAAGTGAAACCCATTCCAAATATTTCACCTGCGTCCCTCTACGCTGCGAGTACTTTGCTTGTTTCTACTTTGAGTTTTCATTGGCTCGTTCTGACATTTTCCTTCTCAATGATTGGTTGTTAAGATTGCTGTAATGTTGGGTTTACGACATTTAGTACAAAAGCGCTTT